TTTAAGAAAATACAGATGACGAGGAGCGAGCACTTCAAGTACTTCGTAAATTTTCCGCTGGCCGGAATCTCTCTTTCTATTTATGTATAGGATACGTTGTTTAGCGCCAAGTAATCGCTAATAATCTGGCTGACACCTCCGAAACAGAAAAATAGGTACGAAGCGAAGGCAGTTCAACCAGTCCCAGCATCTTACAGCCAATTGTGCCCTGCTTGATGCCAAATTGCTTCACGAAGCTTTACGTGGGTCGGTCGGGGTGGACGCTCAAGAGCTTCAAGAGCTCGCAAGGAGATCAACTAGATCCAAAGCCCGAGATTTAAAGTTTTCCATCTCTTTCTAACCCGACGCTAAAATGGAAGCTATGTTTTTTTCGGTTATATAGTTCTTATGAAATGTAAATAACGTGACATTCGGTCTAACAAGCATTTCGGGCTTCGGTTTCGATGATCGGTAAACTGGTTTCCCGCTGATTACTGAAAAAGATTCAACGCAATGAAGCTTAATTTATTTGGAGGCTTCTAGAATCTAAACAATTACAGCCGTAAAGATCTGGCAAGCTCCAGTAGTAGCTCCGAAGGTCAAATAGTACTGGTAATAGTGGTACTTCTCCAAATTATTTCTACCTTCGTGGGTGCCTTTCGAGAAGAATTCTTACATTTCGTGTTACCGCGCTACACGTTTGGCTTGGCCTTTAGTTTTTGATCAAAATAATTCAAGCAACATTTCATTTAAGGATTTCCCTGAGCCAGTGAAGCCCAAACCACCGAGGGTTTTTTTTAATATTGTTTTGTTAATCGGGTTTCATACGCCAGCGTTTGGCATCAGATTATAATAATTACCATTACTAGTGACCAGGAAGCTTCCAAGGTTGAAAAAACCGCGACAAAATGCGATCCGAGTACACTGTTTCAAAATATTATGAGCTATCAAACCAACTGGGAGCTGGTCACGTTGTGAGTTCGTAATATACCCGTAGATGGTGAAGAAACAAGTGAAGAGATGAAAGATCACATACTTGAACTAGAACTCAAGTAGAAAGCTTGCGACGATAAACATGATAAGGAATTAACCTATAAACGAAAGGCTTGTCATGGAGCTTCGTGCGTTTTCCAGATAATACATACACCTCCAAAACAGTTACAGGCGCCTCCAAAACAGTTACAGGCTGAACTGTTGAAAAATGACTGAAGCCAGAGGTAAGGATGTTTCAACCTGTTTGTTTTTAACCATATCATAACTGATTTAACGTTTATATATGTATAAAAAAAACAACTACAAAGCAGGATTAACGAAATTTCGAGCAATCGAGCACATGTTAACGAGAATTCGAGCATGCGGGCAGTTGCAAAAAATTTGTGAGCATCAGCAAGCGAGCACCCTTGTAATTTTTGCGAGCAATTGGAGCAAAGGCCAAAATTTGCGAGCACTTTTAAATTGAATGGGACCATTCGATATCCCTAAAATTGTGTAGTGCGCTGATTTAGGGATCTTCTGTAACTTCAGAGTTACATTCTTGTCGTCATGCAAAATACTCCTGCTGTCGTTCCTTGTACTGGTCTTTCTGTTAGGGCAGTCTGCATATCTTTAGCCGTCAAAATATCATGATCTTCCAATTATTATATTTTACTATATTTGGTAACTTATCTAAGCATCTCTAGACACTTAAGATCGTGTCCTTGGCGTTGCACAGTGTGACAAGGCATCAATACTTGACTAAATGGCTGTCCTCTTCGAAATAACGCTGATCTCATTTCTGAAGATAAAAGGTTATCACAAGTTATGTGGGCATTCTGTCGAACTAACTCGTCCTTAGTGTCTCTAATTTGAAATATTAACGAGGTGAGCGGGCAGCAAGCGCACCCTTTCTCATCGTTCACTTCTTTATGAAAGTGTGTCTCTTGCGACCCCACGACAGTGTATGAAAAATAATACGAACTGAAGACAGGTTAGACTCATCTCACTGAGTCTAACCATTGATAATGTGTTAAAAGAGCGACAGCCCAGACGCCATCATTAATCTCGTTCAGAAGCGCGGCCATATACGTTATGGTTTTTGTAGCCTACTTCCCCGTTACTTGCAGGCTAAATACCTGTTTCTTTCTTCGATTCTTTTTTTGGCGAGCAGGACTGCTTGCTCTTGGAGAAGCAGCAACCAGCGATGATGTTTAATAACCCTCTCCTCCTGGGTCTCCATATGGCATGAGCTGATTGCGATCGATCAGATTTCTAGAGAGAAATAACTCCTCATCGGGTAGATAAATGTGTTCAGGTTTGTTCGGCCTAATTTGGGGTGTTTGACGGTACTAGAAAAATTTGTTGAGCCCTCGAAAAATGCATAGAGTACTCTTAAGGATCGTGCCTACCTTGTGGTACACCAGTCCCCTCAGGGCGCTTCCCATTTTGACCCCCAGTATTTCACATCTGTAGTTCACATCTGTAGTCTTGCTGGTGCATACTAAGACCACCGATCAAACCATTGAGACACATAGCTAACGCGCAGGCGTAGAGCTGAAAAGTATTCTCTGCCTCAGATGACATTAGCTCGGAAACGAGATACCCGAGAAACAGTGGAAAGAGAAGGCGAGAAGTTGTAATCAATACATTCCCCGTCAAAATGATGATAACATCTTTGACAGAAAGCATATCAAACACGCTTCTCCAAAGTTTGGGCCTTCATCTTGCAATGATGTTTCTCGCTCTCCCAGATCTTCTGAAGCTTGTCGGTGACAAAACGGCCAGAGTTCTCGTCTGACAGGGGAAATGTTTGCGCGGCCGGCCAAAATTGATCCCCTTGCTTGGGTGAGCCTGTTGAGTTCCAGGCCCTCTCCAGAAAGAAACCAAATAACGGGTGAACATTATCTTGCAGTTATTTGAGGAAGCGGCGTGGAAACAACTTTTCATTCCGAATGGAGTTTCCACCATTTTTTTGCCGCTTTTCTTTTTGTCACATACATGACAAACTTAATAGTCACAAAAATAAATCAATAATTGTAACCAATCACGCACGAGATCTTTTTGACCTGAGAAGCCAGAGAAGCCGAATAGGTTTCATCGGTCATTTAACGTCCACTGAGGCGTAAAATAAAATTTCGTAAGCGAGAAAACGCAATTTTTTTTTCTCAGGCTGAAAATAACCGTATAATACTGTAAAAATTGGATACCTATCGAAGTCGATTGCGTGATAGTCATAAATGAACCTGTGTCTCGCGAACTGTCACAGTCGAAATTCTCGAGCGGACAAAGCGCGGCCTACACGGTCTGCGCAGTTTGCACGGTCTGCAGGCTGTAGTCTGCGTTTTAGCATAACATCTTCCGTGATTTAGCCCATTCAACTAAAGCTTTTAGCAAAACGATACATATGCAAGACGCAAAATAATATAATAACACATTGAATTTGCAATTCAAGATACCGAGTCAAACTAATCCACGCAAACAGCGCCATGTCACGCATCAGCGCTGTTGTCAACAATGTTTTTCTCACTCCACGGCGAGCGAGCTCTATTACGAAGTTCATATAACACGCATCCTGCGTACTGCTCGGATCAGCAATGTCGATGGTGTAATGTTTGCAGATAGAAAAATAAGAGAGATGGTAGGTTTTGAGCTCAGTAAAGAAAAAAAGAAAGATGTTTTTCGTCTTGTCACGAGCATGGGACAAAGAAAAAATTATGAGTGACTCAATTCGAAGCCTCAACATCCCCCCTAAGCAACCCCCTGGACATTTTAACTTTTGAAGATTGTTTCGTTCAATTGCCAATTTCTTTGTAAAACGCAAGATTAGTGACAGTGACTTTCTTGAGGACCTTAAAACAACTCCATATCAAAAGATATAACACGTTTATTCCGTTAGAAAGACTTGACAGTTCCGGTTCAAATTTCCCATCTTCACCCCCGGGCACGAAAGACAGTCATATATCCGAACAGAACGTGAAGATCACATGAGAAAGTATGGCGCATGCGAAAGATTATTTTGTAAAAGGTTGGATGAGAGAAGGACACGATCTTAAGTGTCTAGAGATGCTTAGATAAGTTACCAAATATAGTAAAATATAATAAAAACTTTGAAGTTTGAGTCCATTGGCAAACTATGCCAGCTGGTCTCTTGAGCAGATCAAGCGCTGACGAAATTCGACAGTTTTGAAATTTTGAGCGGATGCAAAAATCGAGACAAAAACTCGTCTTGACACAATTTGTCCTTTGATTTTGTCAAGAGAATTCTGGTTTTGTCTGCTAGTGCAGATAACACAGATAGCCACTTACGAATCCATTTTTAGTTTAATAATAGCCTTCACTCTCGAGAAATGGCAAATATATTACCCATGTGATCCGACTACAACTTTAATTCCGAAAACTTCGAGAACATCTCCGGTCAGTCTGGCTTCCTTTCACTTCCTCACATTTTCCCTTGTGCTGTGGCTGTTAACAAGTACTTTCACTCCATTTCCATTATTTCCTAAAGTGTTAGGATGTTTAGAACATACCAATAACTGCTATATTTTTTCCATATTGTGGTCAAAATGACCGGAACGAAACAAAATTAACTTGTACTCGAGGATTTCGCTGGATAGCTAGTAGTGCTTCGAATGACTTGATACGTCGTCCCGGTATTCCAGGAGAGAAATCAGGGCTGAAATACCCAAAGCCACTCCAAGCTTTTCTTTCCATGAATCAAGTAAACCTTCTTAAAAGTTAAAATTCTCACTAAAATGTAAAATTCTTCAGTCCATTTTAATAACTTTCGATTCTAATTCGTTACACTAACTAATATTAGTTTCAATTTGTAGAACCCGCGAAACAGGCCATATGGCAAGGGGAAAACTTAGCACAATCACGTCACGCAATATATCAAGCCGGGTTTGTCCAGTTGATTTTGATGGTGGCAAGAAAATGTCGAGTTTGTCGCTCAAGACCGCTGTGCTCCATAAGAGCGTAATATCATTGATGATGGAAACAAATTTGCGGAAAGGAGGGTTAGTTCATCGGGTTCCGTGAAGCATGCTCTCCAACGCAAACCATCCAGTGTGGTGTCCCTCAAGGTTCGATTTTAGGCCCTCTATTGTTCATTCTATACATAAATGACCTCCCTAATGCCTCTGAATTAAAAGACCCTCTGCTTTTCGATGATGATACCAGTATCTTTTATTCTCACTCAAACCCTAATTCCTTAGAATCCGTACTTAATGAAATTGCTAAAATGTTAAAATGCAATAAGCTCTGCAATAAGCTCTAACTACGTAATTTTTAAACCCAGACAGAAGAAACTTAACTCCAGCATTTCTCTCTCCTTTGGAGGTAAATTCCTACAACAATCTAACATAACTAAATTCCTTGGGGTCTATATTGATGATCATCTCTCCTGGAAACACCATATCAGCTATGTCAGTAAACAAATCGTTAAATCAATAGGTATTATATTCAGGTCTCGCTTTTTCCCATCCTCTACAACCAAACCCACTTTGTACTACACCTCAATTTATCCTTATATCGTCTATTGTAACTGCGCCTGGTTGTCCACATACGTATCTAACTTAAATAGAATTTATTACTTGCAAAAGTGAGCTGTGCGGGCTATCACCAACTCAGACTACCTAGCTGAATTGGCCTCAATCTTTTGGTAACGAATAGCCAAATTCACAACTATGGTACCGGAACAGCGAGTAATTATCGAACGCATTTGTGCCGTACAAATCTCAAGCAATTCACAATTCTCTACCAAGGTCCTAAACTTTGGAACTCTCTTCCTGTTTCAGTCACTCGTTCCTCAAACCTTCCTAGTTTTAAGACGAAAATGCAAGAGGTTTTACTTAACGTAAATAATTTCTGAATTGGCCTAGCCGCACATTCGCAGCAATTTTTCTTTACTTTATTTATTAATATAAGTGAGGTGGCTCTCTCATAAGCCCGGTGGCTTCCTGGGTCTCCTTGCCTTCTTGCTATAACCGCTGTTAATAATTTTTTTGTATTGTGTAAATAAGGCAAATAAAATATGATGATGATGATAATGATGATGCGCGCACTTTGCTTCTGCATAATTATGATAAGCTATCTCGTATTTTTTTAATATATTTCATTATATTAATTTTTTCAAGGACCACAAATTGTAAGTCTTCAAAAGAAATTAACACTTGCTTATTTATTCCAAATTGCACGCGAAATCATGTGATTACCTATACTACTATGTAGAGCTCTGCAGGATCAGACCTGCGCGACATTCGAGGTATTTCAACCTTAAACCGCATATCAATTCATGTTCATTATAGAATCAAATTTATAAAATCCTTGAACTTTTCCATCTTTCAAGACCAAAATCTTCTCGCAGTCTTTTATCGTGTTCAAACGGTGAGCTATAGTGATGACAGTGGACTCTTTCAGTTTGTCCCGCACTACATTCCAAACCGTCTGCTCTGTGTCTGGGTCAACATGCGCAGTTGGCTCATCCAAGACGACGATTTTACTTCGCTGTAGCAGCACACGAGCCAAGCAAACTAACTGCCGCTCTCCAACACTCACATTAGCGCCATGCTCCAGCAGTTTGTGATCCAGCTTGGCTTCAAGTGTCTCGACGAAATCTTTCAGTTGCACATCCTCTAAAGCCTGCCATAATTCAGCGTCTTGAAACTTGTCAAAAATGTCCAGATTTTTCCTCAATGATCCGCTAAAAAGAACAGGACTTTGGCCAAGAACCGAGATACCTCGTCGAGCTTGTTGGAGGCCTATGTCTTTAATTGGAACATCGTCGATGGTTATCTCTCCATCAGCATCAGGCATGCGCATAAGAGCTGCTACGAAAGATGACTTCCCGGCTCCCGTACGGCCGACAACTCCAATCTTTGCTCCTCCTTTGATGCTAAGATTGATGTTCTTCAGCACTTTAGGTCCTCCCGGATAGTACGTCAGTGATACATCTCTCAACACAATACTTCCTCTCCGAGGCCAGTCTTGTGGGGGTCTTCGTTCTTCCTTGTATCCAGGCTCCCGGTCAAGTTTGGTGTAGGTCATAACTCGCTCAACTGACGTCATGTAGTTTTCCACTTCAGAGGTTTTTCTAACAGCGTATTGAGTCGAGCTCAGAGTTTGGATGACATAAACAAGAGCAAGACCGGCGTAAGCTGAAAAGAAAACTTGGAACTTAAATGTATAAATTCTGGACTTGTTATCTCTCTACCGCTCAAAAAATTTAACGAAAACTTTACAGTCTAGGGTACCTAGTCTGGTCCAGGCAGTCACTTATAGAAGGGATTAAAATAACGAGTCTTTCTTACGTCTTCCTCAGTATCGCTGTTTTAACTCCAAGCTAAGTAGGTGCAGAGGATTTATCAACACAAGTTCCCCTTTTTAAATCATAGAAGACACTTCAAAGTTTGTATAGCACTTAAGCCACCCGAGTGACTCTCACGTTTTTATCGTTTTTAGAAACCACCCGTTAATGAGAGAGCACGTATGGTCACACTTATCTTATAAAATTATTCAGTTGTTCATTCTGTGTTGATACACGACTATATAGATTCCAACATCACATAGAAAGACTCAAAGTCGTTACTAAGAATCCTGAACTTACCGGCATCTTGAGTTACCAAGATTGCAGCCAGAGCAACTGCACCGACTAACAAGGAAGCGAGACAATCCAAACGTGCACCGAGCCACCTACCGCTGGCCATCACCATAATGTACGCCTGATTATGAACATCTTGATATCTGAGGGGACGAGTGTTTATCACAATAAGTTTTAATAATGGGATGATTTTTTAGTTGACTGTTGAAAATAGACCGGATTGTATAAACTTGGTATTACTTTGCTTAGTGATTTGTCAAGCAAACTTGCGAAAAACCAACCGCCTATTGGCGGAACGCCTTTGTCAGCGTTCAATACGGTTTCCATGATTTTACGTTAAATCCTCTGTCACTACTTGTGATCTTTTATTTTGTTTTGATTGGCTTTTATTATTATCTTGCATTTTTTTTACGACAATCACTCCAAAACAATTCTTAAAGAGATTACACCAGGTCTCCACACCGAAGTGAGACCAGTGTCTCCTTCGGCCTGACAATGTAATGGAGCCCCTTAACAAATTCTGCCCGACACCCCACCCTCTCAAAAAGATGTTACTCTCAAATCAACATCCGTAAGCTTCTAGCTAACTGTCCGAAAGATCACTTCCGTAGCCTCATCTAAGTCTTAGGTATGTACCATTCGTCGAGATGAAGTGAGAGCCGCAAGAGCCGAATTTGTTAACGATGTGGATATTTTCCATTAAAAATGGTGAATTCTCCCAAAAAAGACCAATTCTTAACTGTTTTCTATCACAACTACATCTCTTATATCAAGTATAAAATTTATCAGAAAGAGGAGACGAGTGGCACTTGTCTGTATTCCCTGTTAAACTCGTAATAGAGTCCAATTCGGTCAGTAATCATACGAGTTATTAACAAAATCAAGATTTTTTTAATCACGTGTATTATTAAAGACATAATTGGACGACATGACGTTCTCTTACCAATTAATCAAAGGTTTGACAAAATCAGAGAAAGAAACTAGACAACAGTTAAACGTTTTCATAGAAGAAAAGAAACTCGGCGAAACTCGCGACAACAGCGCGCGCATACACTTACACACAGGCATGACTTGTCACTGTCCAGTTACAAGCATGACACTTACACTGCGTTATTGGTGCTCAAATCGGGCCGATGATAACCAGTCGTGTTCGATAAATTTGTTAGTTTTCACTTATCGTGAAATTTCTGCGTCACGTGATCTTGTCGATTGAACGCTCATATTATGTGTCTGTTGAAATCCTATCAGAAGGACGAAAACCGCACAGAACAATTACTGTAGTCTTACCATTGGTAATGCCCTTCGTGCCTCTTTCGGACAGCTTCGTTTCGAAGCCGTGCCTCGTACGGAAAAGTCCACTTGCTGACCAGTGTCTCAGCACATACCACATAGGATTACAAGAGAGGCGTGATGCAATTTCGTGTATTACCGGTAAATCAAAAATAAATAACTCACAGAAAATGAGCAATTACGACTCATTTCTGCCCTGTGCATTTATTGGCTCTGGCACCACACACTAAAGCAATGTCTCCAACATACCTGTAAAGTGCATCCACAAAATCTGTATGTCTTCGTCTCGTACGAATCGTGTCCAGTCCTATCAGGCTCTCTGAAAAATGAGCCAACACTGGGCTTCGGGATATCGACTCTAACCTCTTTAGGTCTCTGGCAGTCTTCAAGTAATAACTGGATAGAAAAACGACCAGCATGGAAATTGGAACAACAAGAAACATGAGCCAAACATTTGTGGCTACTGTTATTAGAATTTGGATAAATATCATCAATAGCATCTGCACTGCCGCTAGGAATGTTTTGGGTAACATCTCATCTACGCAGCCAATGTCATTGGAGAAGCGATTTAGGATTCTTCCCACCGGATTGGAATGAAAGAACAGGACAGGTGCTTGTAAAATGGCCACAACCATTTTATCGTGAAGACGCTCGGCGCACTTTAGACAAACATGGAAGAATCCATAAGCCCGAATGATAGTAAATATAAAACACGCGCCAACCAGACAGGCGAGGACAGATAGATAAGTCTTATTCTTCTGATTCTCTGGGTTTAGTCTTGCAAGACACGAGAGCCACAAGTCTGGAGCAGCTATGATGGCTGAAAGAAACACCATTAACATGTCATGGTTGAAACACAGTTGTACATTGATATATATGTATATTGTACAAGATTTGTTGGGCCTAGAGACAACCCGCCTGGATTAGCTACTACCGCTAGTATCATGGGGATGTCTATGTAAGCACTACAATGTCACAGAATAGATGAAGCAGTCAACCATGTTACCCATAAATATGGTTAGAAAACAGCCTTTGGTCTCAGAAAGTTAGTTCGTAGAGCGAGTGGTTTTTTTCATCTTGTTCAGGCGAGTCGAGGCAAGTTCAAGGCAAACGTGAGGAGAAAAACACCAGCTCTTCCTTTTGCGCATGACTCACCATTCACTCACACTTGCCTCGTGCTTGTACGAACAAGTGAGATATCGGGGACATGGTCAGACATTTGTACAATTTCTCGTAACTCTACCATATAATCTAAAAAGAACCTGTATTGTTTGTTCAAAGCATAGCCATTGTGACATGATTTGCACGAAGTAGAAAAAAAAAATATAGAAAAAAGGTTGCTATATTCCCTTTGAAGGCTTGAGCCAAGCTTTGTAACTCTCTCTAACGATAAGTTTACCTTGTGTAATGAGACTTAAACCGACCATTCCAGTTATCATCAAAGGATGTGCTCCACTTCTGAAATAGTCCCAATAAAGCCTGGATGTCACAACTCCGATTGTACGATCCTCCTTTTCTATCTCCAAACTCTTCGCTTCATTAGGCAAAGAATGCATTTTTAGGTACTTTTCAGCATTATCTTCTTCCTCCTTATTTTCCCACGAGAACGGCTCAGATGAACCCGTTTTGTCCTTCAGAGCCACTTTATGGAGCGGGTCAACAGTTGAACTGATTACACCTTTGTCGTGCAGCTCAGCAAAGCGTCCCTTGTCGAGGACACGCCCTTTGTACAACACAATCACTTCATCAGCATTTTCCATGTGCTGTTGCTGATGAGAGGCAAACAGAACGATTTTATCGCCTAGTAGATCTTCGATGCATTTGTTAAAGATGTGTTGGCTAACTTTAACATCGACAGCACTCAGTGGATCATCCAATAGATAAATATCTCCGTCAGCATAAACTGCACGAGCTAAACTTACTCTCGCCTGTTGCCCTCCACTGAGAACCTCGCCGCGTTCTCCAACAACTGTTTGGTCACCATCAGGTAACCGCTGAAAGTCTTCTTTCAGAGCGCAGACGTCGATTATTCTTTCGTACTTAGACTCCTCGTAGGGTTGGCCAAATAGAATGTTTTCTTTTATCGTTCCCGAGAACACCCAAGCAGTCTGAGGCAAGTAAATGACAGAACCTTGATAATCAATCGTGCCACTGGCGTTCGAGATTTCACCAGCGATCGCTGAGAGAAGAGTAGACTTCCCACTTCCAACCGGACCGGTAATGACTGTTAAACTCTTTGAGGGTGCAAAGAAGTTGATATCCTCAAGAATAAATTCATCTTCACGATGCGTTTTTGCGTAGCTTAAATTTGACACACGTAGAATAGTAGGTCCTAATTCTTTTACTTCACGAGAGAGGGAAACTTTCTGCATATTTTCCTCTTCTTTTTTCAAGTTATTGGGACTTTGGTTACTTGAGGTACTTTCCGCTTTTTGTTGGGGCTCGTTGCTTTCATCACTCTCCAAGACTTCCAACAGATTTTCCAAAAGAAGAAATTCTTCGATTCTTCCGAGCGAAACATAGGCGTCATACGTTACCAATAAACCAGGTGTCAAATTCAACATGCCAATAAATTTTAAAACACCCATAAACGACAGCAGCATAAAAACATTGGCGGGCGTGAGGGTCTGGCCTGTAAGCACCATAGTAATTACTGACACCAGAGTGGCCAGTGGCGTTGCACTGTATGTCAAGGCATCGATACTTGACTGAATGGCTGTCCTCTTCGAAATGACGCTGATTTCATTTCTGAAGATAAAAGGTTATCGTAAGTTCATAAGTTATGTGGGCATTCTGTCGAACTAACTCGTAGTCAGTGTCCTCTCTAAATTGAAATATTAACGAGGTGAGCGGGCGGCAAGTGCACCCTTCCTCATCGTTCACTTCTTTGTGAAAGTGTGTCTCTTGCTACCCCACGACAGCGTATGAGAAATAATACCAACTGAAGACAGGTTAGGCTGTTTGAGATGTTCTACCTCTAATAATAAACGATTATTCTCCGAAGTGGAGGTGATAACCACCCTCTTTCACCGACACTGAGGTGAAAACGATTACAATATCTTCTGGCACAAATCTCTCAAGAGTCGCTCGAAGGTGAATTCCAAAGGATACTCGGAGTTTAAGTAACCAGCTAGAGCGTTCTTTTAACACTATCTACTCAGTAGGTACTGCTATTTTTGTAACTGACTGGCCAGTCCTCCGGTTATGGAATGGGTTACATGAGACACTTATTCTTTGTGAAAAGAGGAATTCTGATTGGCTCATACAGCGGTCCAAAGATCTCCTTTCTGGTGATAAGGGGGTATGTTTAAACAGCCTAGCTAATAAAGCTCTCGGTGGAGACGAAACAGATTTGTGGCTATTTATTTCCCAGTTTTGAATAATAAGGGTCAAAATTTACAGGAATGAATAAAGTAGTTGTTTGAGCCTACTTCTGATTAAAAAAGATAATTTATCTCACCTTCTCACATGTTTAATCTTTCGTCCATATTCGTCTTCCCATGCATGCATTTTGACCGCGCGGATCCCGGAAACTACTTGATTCATTAGGGAGATTCGCTGATCCGACACTGTAGCTGTGCGCAAGCGCAGCTTAGCATTAGCATAGGATAAGACGGCATAGTATGGCATGAGAATACACAGGAAGAACACACCCGTAACAGCCTGCCAACCAATCAAATTGTAGATAAGGAATATTGCTGCTGCATAAGCAGGAACTGCAAAAACGGCTAAGGCAAAAAACTTGACTGTCTCTTCTTCCATTCTTTTAACATCATTGGATATCAGGTCAAATAAGCGTCCTGCAGTGAATTTCAGTAACGTCTGCTTGCTGAGTAGAAGCGTCTGAAAGAAGGTAGAGATTAGAAATTAATGAAGAAGTCTGTTCCATAAACCATATTATTTTAATGTCCCGCATTAAGATATCCGTGGCTCCGTTTCGAGACGAGAGTATTCAAACCTCTACAAAATTATCTTTAGATGTGTTAAAAGAGGGACAACTCAGGCGCCATTTTGAATCTCGTTCAGAAGCAGGCCGTATACGTACGTTATGGTTTCTGTAGCCTGCTTCCCCGTTTACTGCAGGCTAAACAACTGTTTGTTTCTTCAATTTTTTTTGTTAAAGAGCAGGATTGCTTGTTCTCGCAGAAGAAGCAACCAGAAATGAAGTTGAATAATCCTCTCCTCCTGGGTCTCCATATGGCATAAGCCGATAGCAATCGATCAGATTTGTAGAAAAAAAACCATTCTTTATCGGATAGATAAATGTGTTCACGTTTGTTCGGCTTTATTTGGGGTGTTTAGGGTGTTAGAAAAATCAGTTGAGCCTTCGACAACTGCATAGAATGCTCTTTAGGATCGTGCCTACCTTGTGGTACACCAGTCCCCTCAGGGCGCTTCCTATTTTGATTCCCAATATTTCACATCTGTAGTCTTGCTGGTGCATACTAAGATTACCGATCAAACCATTTAGACACATAGCTAATGCGCAGGCGTAGAGCCCATAAGTATTTTCTGCCTCAGTTGACATAAGCTTAGAAACAAGATACCCGAGAAACAGTGGAAAGAGAAGGCGAGAAGTTGCAAACAATATATTCCCCGTCAAAATGATGATAACATCTTTGACAGAAAGCATATAAAACACGCTTCTCCAAAGTTTGGGCCTTTTCCCATTTATCTTGCAATGATGTTTCTCGCTTTCCCAGCTTTTTTGAAGCTTGTCGGTGACAAAACGGCCAGAGTTCTCGTCTGACAAGGGTAAAAAGTCATTTTGATCCAAAGGTCTCTGACTGCCCTCCTTAAGTACTCCGTTCATCCAACGATAAAAAAGTGAAGATACAAAACTGACTTTATTATCTTCATCACCAGGGATTTTCCTGTAACCGCCTTTTGGTGCCATCACTTGAGACCTACAAAATACTTAGCCATTATTAACACGTTTAACGCAATAGTCAAACATCTTTGCACGTTGTTCCAGGATTCCAGAACCAACTTGCTATCGAAGAGTTGTAAACTTACATTAAATCCATTAAGTCACGGCGTTTGAAGAACCTCATAACTTTTATATAGCCTAAAATGATATAGCCTAAAACAAAACGGTGAATAATCAGGATACCCGTCATTGAATAAGCTTTATGCTCGGAGAGTGTCGAGTTTTCCTTCCTCTACTTTTATGAACGTTTAATTTTCTTGGCATAGTTGCCATGGCAGCGGTTCCTACCGATGTTTTTGTCTAAAATTTTGCGCAGGAAATTTACGCGCTGTCGGCCAAAATTGATCACCTTGCTTAGGTGAGCCTGTTAACTTCCAGGCTCCCTCTGGATAGAAACCAAATAACGGGTGAACAATATCTCTCAATTATTTGAGGAAGCGGTGTGGAACTAACTTTTCATTCCGAATGGAGTTTCCACAATTTTTGTGCGATAAAAATTTGAGGAAGCTGCAACTCTATGTAGCTTACCTTGCAACTTTGTCTCATACAGAAATTCACCAAGATACCGGTAATATTGCCGTTCCTTGCTATTTGCAAGCCATATCTTCTGCACGAGCGAATAGGTTATGAGAGATTTCTAAATATACAAAAAAATGTTCCTCTATAATAAGACAGATGTCGTATTTTGAAACGAGAGGATTTCAAATTTCTCAAGAGCCCTCTATTCACCACGCTGGATAAAAGGGGACTTGTTTTGAAAGTTTTGAACTGCATTTCCAAAATAAATTTCAAAACTCTGGGGAAAGAAAACAAGTTGAAAATGGAGCTTTTCGAAAACCGTATGACTAAATGCCCGGAAATACCTCGGAAACGAAGACTACGTATTACTCGAAAAGCCTTAAGGCTCTTGGTGCTGCTCTTGTGTAAACAATTTTCTTTCTGTTTTTCCCTGGTCATGCGAGCCATTGGATGGGCAAATGTCGCAGATAGTGACTTAATTTTCAGGGGTATTAATTTTTGTTATTGATGGGGACCCGCAAAACAAGACAACATTTCCCGTGTGTATTTACATTTGTCAACAAATCTGTTACAAAATGATTAAAATAGTATTCTGAAGGTGGTTGTAGGTGGTTGTAGGTGGATTTAGGTCATTTCATGTTTTAGTAATGACCTCTCAAGAGGACGAAATACCTGGCAGTCAGAATTTTTCAAAGAAATTCCACCGAAATTAAGGTTCTTTCAAACTTCGTAGGAACATGTTTGCTTAGAAACGTTAAGCGATTCCAAATATTAACTTGGTCTTTTAGTAAACAAATTCTTCGAGCTTGGGCTCACCATGATGTTGCTCGGTTGTCGATGTTTCTGATCAGACTTCCGGGCACGGTCTCGAAAGGTCTAATGCCCGGCAGTCAGAAATTTTCTCCAAAGTGCCACCAAATGGTTCCTTGAAACCTCTGAAGAGTATTAGAGTGTTTGTTTAGAAATGTCAAGCGATTCCAAAAATTAACTTGCTTTTTAGTCGACAGATTCTCCGAGCTAATGAAAACGATAACATCAATGCTCTTTCATTTTTTTGGCGGTTTAACTAAGCACTTGGTATGCCCATGATTAAGCTCCATCTAAATCTGTCTACCGCCTTTGACGACCGTTGTAGTGTGAGCGGAAAACATTCGTTCCTTTTCTTTTTGTTTAGAAATAATTTGGAAATGTTGTCTGGAAATTTTGTCCAATGAAGAATGGACCGCAGCATGACTGTAATAAATGGTTCATGTTCAAATTTTCGACCTCGGTTGTTATCTGAATAGTCCTGTGCCATAGATTCTTTCGTTTTAAATGAGTGTGACAGATCATTCGTTAAAAGTCTGAAGTCCTGCTCAAAGTTTTCTAGAAGTATAGTAAACTGGATCTTAATTTCAATAGCAATTAACTTGACTTGCACTGATTCAGGACTCTTAACCTCGCATAAGAATAATTTAAAACAAAAACGTTCCTCAAAAGTGACATAAGCCTCAAGACGTATCACTGCTTTCCATGTGAGCGATTGTAACTCGCCCTACGCTTTTCCTAAGGTTTCCCCGTCATACCAAAGATATCATTGTACTCCCTAGTACTGGGATGCTCTTTGAGAGTGAACTATATTCAATGTAAAAACACAGAAACCAAGCACCTTAAAGACCTGTAGCTTTATGCGCTAATTCATCCCCACGATTAATGCCTGCGACGATAATTTTCATTCTGGGGAGAGCTCTTCAACAAAATGTTAATGATGATAAACTTACCAAGAGCAAGCCAACTTTGCAGGCTCCGCAGTCTCTCTAAAAGTGGTCCAGTGTGTTTCAGGTCGAAAAATTGATTTCTTTCAAACTTTGCCCAGGAATCTACTTTAGTCTAAAAATAATCGAAACCACCTTGGTTTTTACAGATATAGAAAAATAATTTTTTTCTAAGCGAAAATCGCTTCAGCGCTGAAACGCCAGTTTGTATCAACACCAAATAACAAAAATGGCACAAAGTGCCGAGCTCGTCTTTTCACAAATCTCGATCTTGAGGTTTTTTTTTGCTTTGCATATTTATATCAATTTTCGATGCAAATGTTTTTTTGTTTGACGCCTATTTGACGCTACCGTCATAACCTGAAATATGCAACTTTTTATCTCGGCTCAGCGCAAAATTCCAACTTCTTTTCACACGACATTTTTATCCAGACTGACTAAAATAGGGTAGAAGAGCATGAAAATACAAAAACATGTGGTGGTTTCGGAGAACTTGTAGAATAGCTGAAACTTATACGGCCAACTTATGTTTGACGAGTGATTTGAGTCTATAAAAGCTTTTTTAAAACCCGTAATGGGATAAAACATCATTAAGTTAAGAAAAAATCGTTATCTCCATTTAAAAAAAAACAGCCGCCGAAAGTTGACTCTTAGCTCTAGGTGACCGATTGTTTCGTGTATCACTCAATTAATGAGGAAGGGGAAAAAACCTCAGAGGCAGGATAGCTATGACGAAGTTCAGGTTTATTCAGAATAACACTAAGTCGAAGTTTTCGTATTCGTGGTACTTAAAATGAAGTCCTTTTCCAGTTGATGTATGTGGCATGTAATCAAATAATATTAGAACATAGCTAGTAAATTTGTCTAATCAAATTCCATAGCGCGGGCGTGCTTCAAAATCCTAGTGTGCACGCTCATGACGTCAGCAAACAAATCCCTCGCGAAAAAAAATTTTCCATCGGGTTGAAAATGTTATAAAACAATTGGTTCATACGTCAGCGTGCGTTCATCATCATATGAAGCACCAGGGAAGTTTGGAGAGCACGAAAGATGCGTAAGAGTTGCTCGAGGCGTCGCCCAGATGCGTAAGATGTGTAAGAGTTGCTCAAGGCGTGGCCTCGAGCAACTCTTACGCATCTTTCGTGCTCTCCAAACTTCCCGCGTGCTTCCTATCTCGATAAACGCACGCTGACGTATGAATCAATTGTTAATTCTAATATAGCTAGTAAATTTGTCTAATCGAATTCAATTGCGCGAGTGTGCTTCATATTACTATTGTGCACGCTCATGCCGTCAGCAAACAAATCCCTCGAGAAAAAAACATTTTCCATCGGGTTGAAAATGTTATAAAACAATTGGTTCATACGTCAGCTGTGCGTTCATCGAGATATGAAGCACGCGGGAAGTTTGGAGAGCACGAAAGATGCGTAGGAGTTGCTCGAGGCGTGGCCTGGAGCAACTCTTACGCAGGTCGCAAAGTAGTGTTGATAACTTGGTAACTTAACTCATGCGTCACGCAACGTCAGGTTTGTTAATAGTAACCATTGGCGTACTGAACTATGTTATTTAAGTTCCTTCTTGATCCTTCGTCCACGTCGATAAACCACAAGTTTCCAAATAGTCGTCTACGATTTAAGATTTGACTAGAACTAAAAAGTTCGCCTAAAAGGTCACGGATAAGTTTTCTATAGATTAATTTTTTTCCACACAACCTTAGGCAGTCCCAAACCCCATCTCATAGAAGAAGGACATATTCTATTCAGTATCCTTTTTCGGTCCTGGCGTTTCAGAAAGCTCTAATAAATGTAAATCTTTTCAAATCTTCATATTTTTATCACTTCATCCGACTGTTCCTTCCTTAAGGTCTGCTACGCATGATCCAGAATCCAAACAATCCAAACCGTCACGAATGTCACCATGGACAAATTTGTGGAATTTTAATTAACAAAAATAGTTCTTTGAAACGTACGTTGCGTAGTTTGATTCTTTCATGCATGAGCAATCCTCGGCGACCATTTCACAATGTGATAGTTTCTTAACCAAACTTGATTTGGTGTCTCTTAAGTTAGATGGGATTTCAAAATGCTTGCACATTTCCCTGAGCATCTTAAAAATAAAAGTCTGTTTTCATATGCCATTTCGCAAAGGTTGTGGACATCATATATCACTGGATGCTTGACACCAATTTCAGACTGTACGGCTACACTGGCTTTCTCGAGCATTTGTTCATCTGTTAGCGAGGCATACTCTTCAGCTAGCTCTTCGTCATCATCAGGCTCGTCGTCATCGCTGAAGGTTAGCTTCCCATCTGATTGCTTTCTCTTCGCAGAGAGTCGCGAGAAAATCCCTGGATTTGAAGCTTTGAAAGCCATTCCATTCTACTAAACACTTGTGTGCCATCGGTTTTTCAAGCATTGCGCATATCGTTAGCTACTTGTGCAGGATCTTCCTTCCTCCCAGTTTTTCGACCAATGCCAAACTTTTTTTGTAAGTACCCACGGACTTTGTCAGAAAAGTGTGTTTGTCCGCCTTTTGGTTTGTGAAGTGCCCGACCCATTCGGAGCGATTTTACCTCGGCTTTAGTTTCAATTTGAACTTCTTTCTGGAGGCGAGACTTTCTTTTGGAATCCAGTGAAATACTCTGGAAACGCTGAAGCCAATCGATTTGTAACTGGTCATACACGCCCCTCTGTACCGTCTTCACTGGGCTGTGATTTTTAGCTTCACTTAGATGAGTTTCCAGCTCTGCACGACTAAGGAATTCCTTTAATTTGAGCACGGGGGATGGGGACATCTCTCGTGCTGAGATTGAGAAAAACGGTTTTTCCTCGCTGAGACAAATAACCTCTTGTGGACAAAATATGATGTCATTCCATGTAATTAGCTTACCTGCTCCAATTGTAAAAGCCGTCCACATCCGCCAGCGGTAAACTCAAAATTAGGGGTATCGAATGGTTTTTGCGAGTAGTGTGTTTATTTTTGCGAGCACGAGAAGTTGTCAAATTTTTCTTGCGAGTAGCGAGCACTTTAGAAAAATTAATACAGATGGCGAGCAGTGAGCACTTCAAGTACTTCGTAAATTTTCCGCTGGCCGGAATCTCTATTTTATTTATTAATAGGATACGTTGTTTTGCGCCTATTTTTAGCTAATAATCTGGCCGACACCTCCAAAACAGAACAGTAGGTACCAAGCGAGGGCGGTTCAACCAGTCCCAGCATCTTACAGCCAATTTTGCCCTACTTGATACCAAATTACTTCCCGTAGCTTCACGCGGGTCAGTCGGGGTGGACGCTCAAGAGCTTCAACAGCTCGCAAGGAGATCTACTAGATCCAAAGCCCACGATCTAAAGTTTTCCATCTCTTTCTAACCCGACGCTAAAATGGAAGCTATGTTTTTTTCGGTTATATAGTTCTTATGAAATGTAACAAATAATTATCTATGTAATAAATAACGTTACATACGGTCTAACAAGCATTTCGGGCTTCGGTTTCGATGATCGGCAAACTGGTTTCCCGCTGATTACTGAAAAAGATTCAACGCAATGAAGCTTAATTTGTTTGAAGGCTTCTAGAATCTAATCAATTACAGCCGTAAGAATCTGAGAAGCTCTATTAGTAGCTCCGAATGTCAAATAATGCTGTAATAGTGCTACTTCTCTAAATTACTTCTACCTTCGCGGGTGCCTTTCGAGAAGAATTCTTATATTTTGTGTTTCCGCGCTACACGTTTGGCGTGGCCTTTAGTTTTTGATCAAAATAATTAAAACAACATTTCATTTAAGAATTTCCTTGAGGCGGTGAAGCGCAAGCCACTGAGGGTTTTTATTATTGTTGTTTTGTTTATCGGGTTTCATATGCCACCGTTTGGCATCAGATTTTAATGGTTACTATTACTAGTGGCCGGGAAGCTTCCAAGGTTGAAAAAACCATTACAAAATGCGATCCGAGTACACTATTTCAAAATGTTATAAGCTATCAAGCCAACTGGGAGCTGGTCACGTTGTGAGTTCGTAATATACCCGTAGATGGTCAAGAAACAAGTGAATAGATGAAAGATCACATATTTGAACTGCAGAACTGCACCCCTCTCAAGTAGAAAACATGCGACGATAAACATGATAAGGAATTAACCTACAAACGAAATGCTTGTCATGGAGCTTCGTGCGTTTTCCCGATAATACGTACAGCACCTCCAGAACAGTTACAGACTGAACTGTTGAGAAAAGACTGAAGCCAGAGGTAAGGATGTTTCGACCTTTTTTTTTCAACCATATCATAACTGATTTATCGTTTATATATGTATAAAAAATAACTACAAAGCAGGATTAACGAAATTTCGAGAAATCGAGCACATGTTAACGAGAATGTGAGCACGCGAGCAGTTGCAAAAATTTTGTGAGCACCCGTGTAAATTTTGCGAGCAATTTGAGCAAAGGCCAAATTTTGCAAGCACTTTTAAATTGAATGGGACCATTCGATACCCCTAAAATTGTGCAGTGCGCTGAAATTAGGGATCTTCTTTAACTTCAGAGTTATATTCTTGTCGTTCATGTCGAATACTCCTGCTGTCGTTCCTCGTACTGGTCTTTCTGTTAGGGAAGTCTACATGTCTTTAGCCGTCAAAATATCATGACCATCGTTGCAGTAACGTTTTACGGCGGCTTCCATCAGGCGTAAATCCTGTCGCAAATATCCTTACCATGCTGTGGTTCCGAAAAATTATATCTCACAACATCAATTCTCTGACGACTTCCGACACCTCGGAAGGTCGCTAAGAGACTGCTGTTGTGATGACAACCCGCTGTGCCTGATCTTAGGTGCACCTTTGTAATGGTTAGATGGTCTATTTTTATCACAGTCATAAGTTGTTCGAGGATTGAGAGAATGATGGTACATTTGGCAAGGGTACGTACTATGTTTGGCATGACGAATTCTTCACCACTTTCAAGCTTGAGTCTTCGGCTTCCAAATGCCACTTCCTATAGAAGTAAGGGCGAGATGAAATTTCCATATAGTGATCCAAGTGACATTTATCTTATCGAACTCGATGCTGTGGTATCCTGGTTAGTGGGATACCGGGGCCTTCAGAAGAACTGTGCACTCTGGCTTTTTTATTTGCCTATCACTGATATTTTACAAGGTCAACGAAGAGCCTTCAACTCGTTTACTTTAAACCTATTCGCGTATACACCAAGGATCTGTGTCCTTGGCATCTTAGATGGCGCTCACCTATAGGCCGCGACTAACGCCTTTAGACCAGGGTTAGCAGTGGTGTCGTTCACTTTTTCTCCCCGAAGAGCTTGAAGCAGCTTCTCACTATTATTTGGTGCTATGACATTGTAAACCAACCTGCATGCCTCGGTAGCTTTACTAACTGAGTTATTTTTGTGACTGGACGCAATAGTCTCCACTATTGTTATGACGTTTCGTATCAATGTTGATTCGCATCAGAAGAAGCAAAGATTTATTCTAACAATTTCAATAGTTCGAATGCAGTAGTTTGTTCACATCTAATTCTTGCGTATACTGTACGACTCGCTATAATAAATGCGGTAGAATTGGAACGAAATGGCTGTTTTTTTTTAACCCTTATTGAGGAATGTTGTGTTGTGATTGAAAAGAACATCGACAAAAAGCTTGCAAATAGAATAAGGTACCCAATGTGATACAAAGGATGCTTTAAAAAGAAAGTGTGGTGGGGGGGGGGGTCCAAATCTGCGAAGGGGGGGGGCCATTTCCGCTAATGGATTTAGACCGGAGTTCCAAATCCGCTGCGACACCGTCAGTCAGAATTTTTTACAGAATTTATAACGAAATCAAGGTTATTTCAAACTTCGTAGGAATCAGTCAGATGTTTGCTTAGAAATGTTAAACGATTCCGAATATTAACTTGGTCTTTTAGTCGACAAATTTTTCCAGCTTGTGCACACCACAATATTATTACTTGGTTGTCGACGCTTGCTGGGAAAGGTCTCGAAATGGCTAAATGCTCGGCAGTCATAAATTTTCTCCGAAGTGCTACTACTGAAATGGTTCCTTCAAACCTCTAAAGAGTATTAGAGAGTTAGTTTACAAATGTCAAGCGATTCCAAAAATCAACATGGTTTTCTAGTACACAAATTCTCCGAGCTAGTTAAAAAGATGACATCAATGCTCTTTCAATTTTTTGGCGTTTTTTAAAGTTAAGCACTTGGTATGTGTGCACATGATTAAGGTCCATTCGTTCTGGATAAGTTTGACGAGTCATTCATTAAAAGTCTGATGTCCTGCTTAAAGTTGCCTAAAAGTATAGTAAACTGGACCTTAATTTCAAATAATTTAAAACAAAAACGTTCCTCAAAAGTGACATAAGCCCCTAGACGTATCAATGCTTTCCATGAGAGCGATTATAACTCAGCCTACGATTTTCCTAAGGATTCCCCGTCATACAATAGATATCATCGTACTTCCTTGTGCTGGGATGCTCTTTGAGAGTGAAGTGTATTCAATGCACAAACACAAAAACCAAGCACCTTGAAGAAACATAAATTTACGCGCTAATTCATCCCTTTGATAATGCTTGCGACAATTATTTTCATTATGGCGAGGGCTCTTCAACAAAATTACCAAGAGCAAGCCAACTTTGCAGGCACCGCATTTGACCTTGTATGCGCCAGTTCAGTTACTCACTGTCCTTAATATCGGCTTGATATTGAGGATAAAATCTTTATACGTGAGCTACGTACACGATTTCGAGCAATTTATCATTTGATCTCTGAGTTCAGCTGTATGTAACCAAACCAACAACCGCGAAAAAGAGTTGATTCAGTCACTGATCACGCGTTTTTTTATATTGCGTGTTGTTTAAGTTACAGAAATAAGGTTCATACTTGACGGATCGTGTCAAGTTATCTGTTCACGAAACAGGCATCAAAATGCAGCTTGCATACTTCCGTAAAACCTTAAAGCAGTGAATTCGCTATTTAAGATATCGAGTCGAACCAGTATTTAATGGTTATCCACGGAGAATAACGGGGTTACCGCTTGAAACAGGTTGACCGCTGAATACAGGTCCACAGAATAGAAGAATTATGGAACAAAAGAAAAAAGCGCCATGTTTTGCCATAATTGACCACTTTGTTTACAAAAACTCGCCCAAAAATACTACAAACATTGATTCTGGGAGATAAACGCGGATTTAATTTTACTTGAGAGATTTTTCTTAGTTTTATTTCAGTGGTCTCAATTTGCACTTCAAGTGACCGTTTGATAGAGGTGGAGAACTACACAAACAGTCCTTTAGGACCTAAGAATGACCATTTCGTGGTTTTGCTCAAGGTTTTTACATGAAAAAAAGAACTCTTGGAAGAGATTGTTGTTGATGAAATGCATATTGCCCACATCTACAAAGCCTATGGTTTTAACCTATGGTTACTATCACTCTGACTACTGTTCCATTGGTAGATAAGTTTTTTGAGCAAAGTTAGTGTGGGCGAATCTCAAACCCACGCGAAAGCAGATAATGCTATGTCACGCATAGGTGATTATTCAATTTCCTGGTGAAATGAACATTTTAGCCTAAAATTTCGTTTATTTGCTCGCGGTTTTCAGATGAAAAGAGGAATTTCCTTTCATGCTAACAATTTTTCAGCTGAAAAATTAAAACAAAAGATGGTAAATAAGACGAGGATAGCAATACAAAAGATAATAAATGGAATGAGGATAAGTTTCAAACATACCGTGTAGAAGTTGAGGAATTGCTCGTGACTATGCAAAACCTTCCAAACCAACTCCCAACAAGTTACTCAACATCAAAATCACGCACTCGTGTTCTTTAAAAAAAATAAAATTAAGGCAAAACAATTAGCTAGATAAGCAAGAATTAGTCATATTTCTGTTTGTCAGGTTCGCTCTGACGAAGGGCTAAAACTCAAAACGTTACTGTAGAATCTTTTTTAGACGGCCAATTAATAAAACCACGGCTTACCGTTGATGAGAGTACGGAAAGCTTTGCTCTTCAATCGTGCCTTTTACATAAAAACTCGCTTGCCGGCCATTTCCGCGACATCGGTTGAACGAAATGAAAAGGAACGATGCCACAGAACTCCCTTAAGAAAATAATGAATATCAGACTCTTAAACGCGACAAAATAAGCTTCCGATTGAACGACACTTCGATTCATCCGAATCGATGCAAATTATGCATCGATTAATTCGAAGCTTCAACATCCCCCTTAGGCAACCTCCCGGACATTTCAACTTTTGAAGATTGTTTCGTTCCATTGCCAATTTTTTTTAAAGGCAAGATTAGTGACAGTGACTCTCACGGAGACCTCTTCTTCTGAGCCATCTGCTCGCGAGAGTGAACTTTTAACTTTAAAATAACTCCATATCAAAAGATATAACACGTTTATTCCGACAGAAAGACTTGACAGTTCTGGTTCAAATTTCCCATTTTCACCCTCAGGCACGAAAGACAGTCATATATCTCAACAGAGCGTCGAGATCACATCAGAAAACATGGCGCATGCGAAAGATTATTTTTTAAAAGGTGGGATGTGAGAAGGAAACGATCCTAAGAGTCTAGAGATGTTTTAAATAAGTTACCAAGGGGAAAGTTTGTGATCTCTACACTATGGAAGAACGATAGGAAAAAATATGTTAGCGTGCTCGGTTGTCAGGACAACTTAATGTGGGACACAAAGCTCACTGTTCGTAAGGGTGGTGGGGGTGTGGTGGGGTATGGGGGGGGGGGCCTCCTGGAGCCTTTGAACTCCTCTTTGAGGTAATATGTTTGGGTTAGACTGTAATAGAGTCATTCATCTTATAATTATGGAACTTAAGTCATCTGTGCCGTTATTTCGTGGGCCTTTTTTTCCTCTCATTCTTTCTGCCCATTGGAGAAGATCTAAATTTATACCTAGCGTGAATGTATAACAACCTATTACTCTATGATATCGGACCCTAGGTCTGGCCATAGCCCCCCCGCCCACTTAAAAAGTCATTGCTAAGCTGCTGCACAGTTTCCCATATCTCATGTGCATTGCAATGGGGGTTAAGAAGCGCTCGTAAGTCGTTCCTAGGGCATCTCCATAGGTCTTTTACTTATGATCAGTTGGGGGACAGACAGATAAGTTACGTCAACACGAGAAAAATTTTGCTTTGTTTATTACCTAAAACAAACCTAATCTACTTTATGGTGGGTTTGTTCATTAACAGATCACAGAGGACGTCATAGGGCAGTAGGAACATCGGTGACACACTCGCTTGCGCCTAGTGTGCAGGTTTTTCTGTTCTTATAACATAATGGCCGACGTTTTCAGTAGGTTTTCTTTCGCCACCTCAACAACAATACAACAACTGAAAAATATCTCTAGCAACACTGCTCTAACAGCACTGCTTTTTAGTTGTCAGTTTGGAAAAAGTGGTGTTTAGAGATAGGAATTGCTAAGGAAATCGAAAATTACGAGCCGACCCAGCTGAACACTTTACTCGAGCGATTTTACGCCGAAATTAAAAACAGACATGGTTAAACCTCGCAAACGACGATTCCATTTTATTGAAAGTGATTCGGGCACAGACTGAACAATTCCTTAAACTGTTTAGCCGGGCTTTAAACTTTTTTGTGCCTTAAAGATGTGAAAATATCGGTGTATATTATTGTTTTGATCGTACGCGGTTGGTTTGAATAAATTGTTTCTACACTTGATGCGCGCTGTTTACTTCTGCATAATTTTGATAAGCTATCTTGTATGTTTTCATGTATATTATTAATACATAATCACATTATTTTTCTCGTGCAATTCGGAATAAAGGAGTGCTTGTTAATTTTTTCAAAAACCACAAATTGCACTGGCCCTACGGGCTCGTGCAATTTTGTTAGTCTTTAAAAAAAATTACACGTCCTTATTTATTGCACTCGAAATCATGTGATTACAAATACTAATATCTTGAGCTTTGTAGGATCAGACCTGCGTGACATTCGAGGTATTTTAACCTTAGACGACATCTCACTTCATGTTCATTATTGAATCAAATTTGTCAAATCCTTTAACTTTTCCATCTTTCAAGACCAAAATCTTCTCGCAGTCTTTTATCGTGTTCAAACGATGAGCTATAGTGATGACAGTTGACTCCTTCAGTTTGTCCCGCACTACATTCCAAACCGTCTGCTCTGTGTCTGGGTCAACATGCGCAGTTGGCTCGTCCAAGACGACGATTTTACTTCGCTGTAGCAGCACACGGGCCAAGCAAACTAACTGCCGCTCTCCAACACTCACATTAGCGCCATGTTCCAGCAGTTCGTGATCGAGCTTGGCCGCAAGTGTCTTGACAAAATCTTTTAGTTGGACATCCTCTAAAGCCTGCCATATTTCAGCATCTTGAAACTTGTCTAAAATGTCGAGATTTTTTCTCAATGATCCACTAAAAAGAACAGGACTTTGGCCAAGAACCGAGATACCTCGTCGGGCTTGTTGGAGGCCTATCTCTTTAATTGGAACACCGTCGATGATAATCTCTCCATCAGCATCAGGCATGCGCATAAGAGCTGCTACAAAAGATGACTTTCCAGCTCCTGTCCGGCCGGCAACTCCGATCTTTGCTCCTCCTTTGATGTTAAGATTGATGTTCTTCAGCACTTGAGGTCCCCCCGGATAGTAGGTCAGTGATACATCTCTGAACACAATACTTCCTCTCCGAGGCCAGTCTTTTGGCGGTGTTCGTTCTTCCTCGTATCCAGGCTCCCGGTCAAGTTTGGTGTAGGTCATAACTCGCTCAACTGACGTCATGTAGTTTTCCACTTCGGAGGTTTTTCTAACAGCGTATTGAGTCGAGCTCAGAGTTTGGATGACGTAAACAAGAGCGAGACCAGCGTAAGCTGAAAAAAAATTGGAGTTTGAATTTATAAATTCTTGATTAGTTTTCTCTTGATGGCTTAAAACATTTAACGAAAACTTAACAAGGCTTGGTGACTTAGCCTACTCCAGGGAATCACTTAATGGAAGGTAACAAATTAGTGTTGTAGTTTTGACTCCAAGCTAAGTAAGTGCAGAGGAATTATCAACCCAAGTTTCCCGTTTTGAATCATAAAACACCACCCGAGTGACTCTCACGTTTCTGTCGTGTTTAGAAACCACCCGTTTATAACAAGAGTGCAAGTATTTTCATACTTATTTTATTTTTCATTAGTTCATGCTGTGTTATTACATGACTATATAGATTCTTTACTAAAACGTTACTAAGAGTCTTGAGCTTACCGGCATCTTGAGATACCAAAATTGCAGCCAGAGCAACTGCACCGACTAACAAGGAAGCGAGACAATCCAAACGTGCACCGAGCCACCTATTGCTGGCCATCACCATAATGTACGCCTTATTATGAACATCTTGATATCTGAAGGGACGAGTGTTGATCACAATTAATTTTTTAATAATGGAGTGATTTTCCATGATTAGTTGACCAACGAAAATAAACCAGATTGTAGACGCTTTGAAACACTTTGCCTCGTGATTCGTCCGGCAAACTCGCGCAAAACCAACCGCCTCTTAGCTTGGTCGTGCGCGTTTTCCCGCGCTCAATGCCGTTTCCTCGTTTTTACATTAAGTCCTCTTTCACTACTTGTGATCTTTTCTTTTGTTCTGATTGGCTTGTTGTTTTCAAATTGTATTTTTTTTACCACCATCACTCCAAAATACACTCTAAGTTGATTACATCGAGTCTGCACATTGAAGTGAGACCAGTGTCTCATTTGGCCTGACAATGTAACGGAGCCTTTCAAAAAATTCCGCCCAACACCCCACCCTCTCAAAAAGATGTTACTCTCCAAGAAACATCCACAACCTTCTAGCTAAGTATCGGAAATATCACTTCCGTAACCACATCTCATTCTTAAGTACGCTTCATCTGTCCAGATGAAGGGAGCTAGAGCCGAGTTTGTTAACGATATGGATACTTTGCCATTATAAGTGCTAAATTGAAAAAAAAAACCAACAACAAAACAATTCTTAATTGTTCACTATCACAACTACATCTTGCATACTAAGTATAGCATTTATCCAAAGGAAAAAAAGAAACTGCACCCGTCTGTATTTCCTGTTAAACCCATAATGGTTATAGGACTAAGTGAAGTCCAATTCGGTCCGTAATCATACAAGTGATTAACAAAGGCGGACGACTGCGAAGCGGGAGTCTGTTTTTTTTTCATTCACAAGTATGATTAAAAACAGAATTGGACGACATGACGTTCTCTTACCAATTTATCACAACTATGACAAAATTAAAGAAAGAAACTAGACAACAGTTATACGTTTTCTTTAAAAAAAAAAACTTGGCGAAATGCGCGACAACAGCGCGCATACACTTACAAGCAGGCATGACTCGTCAACTGTCCTACTACACTGTCCAATTACAAGCATGACACTTACACTGTCCTGATAGTGCTCAAATCGGGCTGGTGATAATCAATCACGTTCCATAAACTTGTTACAGTTTTGACTTATCGTGAAATTTCTGCATCCCGCGATTTTTTTGACTGACTGTTCATATTATGGGTCTGTTGAAACCCTATCAGAAGGATGTATGTAAAATAAATAGCTCACAGGAAACGAGCAATTATGAGCCATTTGTGCCCTGTATATTTATCGGCTCTGGCATCACACACCGAATCAATGTCTCACACATACCTGTAAAGTGTATCCACAAAATCTCTCTGTCTTCCTCTGGTACGAATCGTGTCCAGCCCTATCACGGTCTCCGAAAAATGAGCCAATACTGGGCTTCGGGATATCGACTCTAACCTCTTTAGTTCTCTGGCAGTCTTCAAGTAATAATTGGATAGAAAAACGACCAGCACGGAAATTGGAACAACAAGAAACATCAGCCAAACATTTGTGGCAACTGTCACCAGAATTTGGACAAATATCGCCAAGACCCTCTGCATTGCCGCCAGGAATGTTTTGGGTAACAACTCATCTACGCAGCCAATATCATTGGAGAAGCGATTTAGGATTCTTCCTACTGGGTTTGAATCAAAGAACAGGACAGGTGCTTGTAAAATGGCCACAACCATTTTATCGTGAAGACGCTCGGCGCACTTTAGAAAAACTAGGAGGAATCCATAAGCCCGAATGATAGTAAATATAAAACACGCGCCAACCAGACAGGCGAAGATAGATAGATAAGCCTTTTTCTTCTGATCCTCTGGGTTTAGCCTTGCAAGAAACGAGAGCCACAAGTCTGGAGCAGCTATGATGGCTGAAAGAGATAAGATCAAGGCGAGGTGGTTGAATGGTATTTCTATATGATAATTCAGTTATACGTTATAAGATTTATTGGGCCCAGACACAACTCACCTGGGTTACCTACTTTCGTTTGTATCTTGGGGATGTTTATGTAAGCACCCATTGTCACAGAATAGATGAGGCAGTCAACCATGTTACATACAAATATTGTTAGAAAACTGCTTTCGGTCTCTTTTTGGCCTTTTTTAGGCGAGTGGAGGCAAGTGCGAGGCAAACGCGAGGAGCAAGGCTTCAGCTCTTCCTTTCGCGCGTGACTCGCCATTCACGTTCGACTCGCACTTGCCCTGCGCTTGTACGAGCAAGTGAGATATCGGGAACATGGTCAGAAATTTGTGTAGTGTCTCTCAACTCTACCATCTAATCTTAAACAAAGTGTATTGTTGGTTAAAAGCATAGCCATTGTGAAATGATTTGCACGAAATAGAATAAAAGAAATGTAGAAAAAAGATTCCTGTCTTCCCTTTTAGGGCCTGACCCAAGGTTTGTAACTCACTCTAACAATAAGTTTACCTTGAGTAATGAGACTTAAACCAATCATTCCAGTTATCATGAAGGGATGTGCTCCACTTCTGAAATAGTCCCAATAAAGCCTGGATGTCACAACTCCGATTGCACGATCCTCCTTTGCTATCTCCAAACCCCTCGCTTCATCGGGCACAGCATATGTTCTATAGCACTTTTCAACATCATTGTGTTCCTCCTTATCTTCCCAGGAGAATGGCAAGGATAAGACTGTTTTGTCCTTCAGAGCTGTCTTATAGAGCGGGTCAACAGTTGAATTAATTACACCTTTTTCGTGCAGCTCAGTAAAGCGTCCCTTGTCGAGGACACTCCCTTTGTACAACACAATCACTTCATCAGCATTTTCCATGTGCTTTTGCTGATGAGAGGCAAACAGAACGATTTTATCGCCTAGCAGATCTTTGATACACTTGTTAAAGATGTGTTGACCAACTTTAAAATCGACAGCACTCAGTGGATCATCCAATAGATAAATATCTCCGTCAGCATAAACTGCACGAGCTAAACTTACTCTCGCCTGTTGCCCTCCACTCAAAACCTCGCCGCGTTCTCCAACAACTGTTTGGTCACCATCAGGTAACCGCTGAAAGTCTTCTTTCAGAGCACAGACGTCGATTATTCTTTTGTACTTAGACTCCTCGTAGGACTGGCCAAACAAAATGTTTTCTTTTATCGTTCCCGAAAATACCCAAGCAGTTTGAGGCAAGTAAATGACAGAACCTTCATAATCAATGGTACCACTGGCGTTCGAAATTTCACCAGCGATCGCTGAGAGCAGAGTAGACTTCCCACTTCCAACCGGGCCGGTGATGACTATTAAACTCTTTGAAGGTGCAAAGAAGTTGATATCCTGAAGAATAAATTCATCTTCACGATGCGTTTTTGCGTAGCTTAAATTTGACACACATAGTATAGTAGGCCCTAATTCTGTTGCTTCACGAGACAGGGAAACATTCCTGATATTTCCCTCTTCTTTTCTTAAGTAATTGCGACTTTGGTTACCTGAGGTACTTTTCGCTTTTTGTGGGGGCTCGTTGCTTTCATCACTCTCCGAGGCTTCCAACAGATTTTCCAAAAGAAGGAATTCTTCGATTCTTCCGAGTGAAACGTAGGCGTCATACGTTAACATTAAACCAGGAGTCATATTCAACATGCCACTCACTTTTAAAACACCCATAAACGACAGGAGCGTAAAAATATTGGCGGGCGTGAGGGTCTGCCCTGTAAGCACCATAGTAATTACTGACACCAATGTGGCCAGTGGCGTTGCACTGTATGACAAGGCATCGATACTTGACTGAATGGCTGTCCTCCTCGAAATGACGTTAATTTCATTTCTGAAGATAAAAGGTTATCATAAGTTATGTGGGCATTCTGTCGAACCAATTTGTCGACTGTGTTCTCTCTAATTTGAAATATCAACGAGGTGAACGGGAAGCAAGCGTACCCTTCCCCATCGTTTACTTCTTTGTAAAAGTGCGTCTTTTGCGGCCCCACGACAACGTACGAATGAGGTGATATCCACCCCCTTGGATAAAAGTGATAACAATATTTCCGGGCGTAAATCCCGCGGGAGTCGTTCCAAGATGAATTGCAAAGGATATTCGGAGTTTGAGTAACCGACTTGAGCGCTCTTTTAACACTATCTACTAAGTATATACTGATATTGTTTAATTGACGGGCCAGTCCTCCAGTTATGAAACGGGTTACTGATCGGTACTGATGAAGATATCAGACTTTTTTTTTTTAGGGGGGGGTGGGCATGTTTAAACTGCCTAGCTAACAAAGCTCCAGTGGAGACGAAACAGATTTCTGGTTATCTATTTTCGAGTTTTGAATAATTTGGGTCAACAATTATGGGAATATATAATGCTAGTTGTTGGAGCCTACTTCTGAATAAAAATGATCATTTACCTTACCTTCTTATATGTTTTATTTTTTGTCTATATTCGTCCTCCCACGCATGCATTTTGACCGCGCGGATTCCCGAAACTACTTGATTCATTAAGGAGATTCGCTGATCGGACACTGTAGCTGTGCGCAAGCGTAGCTTAGCATTAGCATAGGACAAGACGGCAAAGTATGGCATAAGAATACACAGGAAGAACACACCCGTAACAGCCTGCCAACCAATTATATAGTAAATAAGGAATATTGCCCCTGCATAAGCAGGAACTGCGAAAGCGGCTGAGAAAAACAATTTGACTGTCTCTTCTTCCATTCTTTTAACATCATTGGATATCAGATCGAATAAGCGTCCTGCAGTGAATTTCAGTAACGTCTGCTTGCTGAGTAGAAGCGTCTGAAAGAGTGTACAGATTAGACATAAGAGAAGAAGGTTGTTCCATAAACCATACGATTTAAATCTCCGGCATAAAGACAACTGTGACTGCGTTTCGAGACGAGAGTATCCAAACCTCCAAATTTTCTTTAAATTTGTAAAAGGTGCGACAACTCCGGCACCATTTTGAATCTCGTTCAGAAGCGCGGCTGTATACGTTATGGTTTCTGTAGCCTACTTCCAAGTTAACGGCAGGTTAAATAACTGTTTGTTTCTTCGAATCTTTTGTTGGTTAACAGGATTGCTCACTCTCGTATAGGCAGCAACTGGCGATGATGTTTAATTACTCTCTACTTCCGGGTCTGCATATGACATAAGCCGATTAAAATCGATAAGATTTCTAGAAAAAAATAATTCTTTATCGGATAGATAAACGTGTTCAAGTTTGTTCGGCTTAATTTGGGGCTTTTAGGGTATTAGAGAAATCGGTTGAGCCTTAGGATCGTGCCTACCTTGTGGTACGCCAGTCCCCTCAGGGCGCTTGCTATTTTGATCCCCAATATTTCACATCTGTAGTCTTGCTGGTGCATACCAAGACCACCGATCAAACCATTGAGACACATAGCTAATACGCAGGCGTAGAGTGGATAAGTATTATCTGTCTCAGTTGACATAAGCTTAGAAACAAGATACCCGAGAAACAGTGGAAAGAGAAGGCGAGAAGTTGTAGACAATATATTCCCCGTCAAAATGATGATGATATCTTTGACAGAAAGCATATCAAACACGCTTTTCCAAAGTCTGGGCCTTTTCCCATTCATCTTGCAGTCATGTTTCTCGCTCTCCCAGATCTTCTGAAGCTTGTCGGTGACAAAACGGCCAGAGTTCTCGTCTGATAAGGGTAAAAAGTCATTTTGATCCAAAGGTCTTTGACTGCCTTCCTTAAGGACTCCGTTCATCCAAAGAAAAAAAAGAGAAGATACAAAACTGACTTTTTTATCTTCATCACCAGAGATTTTCCTGTAACCTCCTTTTGATGCCATCACTTAAGACCTACAAAATTGTTAGCCATAATTAGCACGTTCAACACAATTGTCACACGTCTCCGCATGTTGTTCCAGTATTTCAGAACTAAGTTGCCTTCTAGGGGTTGTAAAATTACAAAAAATCCAATAAGTCACGGTGTTTTGTAGAGGCTCATGACTTTCATATAGCCTAAAATGATGTAGAAGCTCATGACTTTCATATAGCCTAAAATGATATAGCCTAAAACAGAATGGTCAATTAATCAATAATGGTAACCAATAAACGCGAACATTACCAGGAGAAGAGCGGACCAGAATTTTTTGTTAATATAAAGTGCAAACATTAAACTTTTCTGTTTCTTGCGTCGACGCCTGGTCTTCTAATTCTTCACCTTCGAGCACGAGTTCGAATCAATTTTTGACCTCAGAAGTCACAGAACCGAATAGGTTTCATTGGTCATTTAACGTCCACTGAGACGTAAAATAAAATTTCATAAGCGAGAAAATGTCATTTTTTTCTCTGGCTGAAAAGAACCGCGTAATACTGTGAAAATTGGATACCTATCGAAGTCGACAGTCGAAATTCTCGAGCCAACAGAGCGCAGTTTCCACGGTTTGTACGGTTTCCACGGTTTGTACGGTCTTCACGGTGTGCAGTCTGCGTTTTAGCACATCTCCTGTGATCTACCCCACTCAATCAAAGCTTTTAGCGAAACTATACATATACAAAATGTCAAAACAGCCTGTAATCGACCTTGTAATCAAAATCTATATGGATAGAATCGTACTGACAATTTCGTGTAAAAAGTATTAGGTTTGTAAGTGGCCGTGAGATAACAATTTAAGGAAGCTGCGACTCTATGTAGCTTACCTTGCAACTTTGTCTCATTAACCAGAATTTCACCAAGACACCAGTAATATTGCCGTTCCTTGCTAATTGCAAGCCATATCTATTGCACGAGCGAATAGGTTTTGAGAGAATTCTAAATATAGAAAAAAAAATCGACTTAACGATGTTCCTGTATAATAAGACAGATATCGTATTTTGAAACGAGAGGATCACAAAATTTCCCAAGAGTCCTGTCTTCACCACGCTGAATTAAAAGGGACTTATGTTGAAAGTTTTGAAAGCGCATTTTCAAAATAAATTTCAAAACTCTGGGGATAGAAAACAAGTTGAAAACGGAGCTTTTCGAAAACGCTATGACTAAATGCCCGGTAGCCGTACGCGGTCTCGAGAAGTGTAAGCACTAAAATATGGATGACCTAAAACCACCTAAAACCACCTAAAACCACCTAAAACCACCTAAAACCACCTAAAACCACCTACAATCAATAATTTCGAAAATACTTGAGCCTTCAATCGATTTGAAACATTAACTGATAAGCGCCCTCCATCAAATGAACGGCGCTCCTTTCCACAGGCTTCTCGCGCGGGTCAAGACTAACCGAAACTGGAAACCGCGCATGAAAATTAAAGCCTCTGGCACCCAGGATAGAAAGGGTAAGCCAAGAACTAAAATCGGAACAAATTAATGCCAGCATGTCGTGGGTTCCGAGAGCTGATTGACTCGATCTTTTTCACGTTTAAGACTCGTAAAGATGATGCTTGTAAGTGCGGTAATTTTAGGGAGTTTATAAGCTACATGCATCTCGCGAGATTTGCAAGTTCTGTTTATCACACCATCGCTCCAAATGTCACTGTACTTTCCGTGGTTTCCTATTCTCAGTCAATTTCATTTTTTCTCTGAATAATATACCAACTTATCATAAAACTGTTTTGTTTTCTTTGTTGTACGCTCGCTCCGCAGCCCGATTTGAAGCAATTTCAGATGGTTAGGATTACTCGGATTTCCCTGAAACACATCATCCCTGATGTTATATTACGCAACCTCATTAAACCTCCGACTACCTGCTTGGTGTCCCATTGACTTCTGTCAGACGTTGAAAAAAGCAAACCTTGAAAACTCAGACCTCGAAAGCACTGATCTCGAAAAGCCTTAAGGCTCTTGGTGCTACTCCTATGAAAACAATTTTCTTTGTGTTTTCCTTGGTCATGCGACCCACTGGATGGGCAAATGTCGCAGACAATGAGTTAATTTTCAGGAGTATTAGTTTTCACTATTGATCGGAGCCCGCAAAACAAGACAACATTTCCCGTGTGTATTTACATTTGTCAACAAAATTGTCACAAAATGATAAAAACAGTATTTTGAAGGTGGTTGTGGGTGGTTTTAGGTGGATTTAGGTCATCTCATGTCAAGAAGACGAAATACCCGGCAGTCATAATTTTTCACAGAATTTCCACCGAGATTAAGGTTCCTTCAAACTTCGTAGGAACATCAGATGTTTGCTGAGAAATATTAAGCGATTCAAAAAATTAACTTGGTCTTTTAGTAGACAAATTCTTCGAGCTTGTGCACACCATGATATTGCTCGGTTGTCGACGCTTCTGATCAGACTGCCGGGCACGGTTTCGAAAAGGCTAAATGCCCGGCAGTCAGAAAATTTTCTCCAAAGTGCACTAAATGGTTCCTTCAAACCTCTTAAGAATATAGAGTGTTTGTTTAGAAGTGTCAAGCGATTCTAGAAATTAACTTGGTCTTTTGGTGGACAAATTCTCCGAGATAGAGAAAAAGATAGCATTAATGCTCCTTCAATTTTTTGGCGGTTTAATTAAGCTCCTGGTATGATGATTAAGGTCCATTCAAATCTGGCTGCCGCCGTTGACGAACGTTGCTGTGTGAGCGGAAAACATTTGTTCGGTTTTCTTCGTATACAAATAGTTTGGAGATGTTGTCTGGAAATTTTGTCCAATGAAGAATGGACCGCAGTATGACTTCAATTAATGTTTCATATTCAAATTTTCGACTTTATTAGTTATCTGAATAGTCTCGCGCCATCGATTCTTTCGCTCTAAATAAGTTTGACAAATCATTCATTAAAAGTCTGATGTCCTGCTCAAAGTTTTCTAGGAGTAGAGTAATCTGGACTTTAATTTCAATCGCACTTAACTTGACTTGCACTGATTCGGGACTGTTAACCTCACATAATATAATTTAAAACAAAAAAGTTCCTCAAAAGTGACATAAGCCTCAAGATGTATCACTGCTTTCCATGAGAGCGATTGTAACTCAACTTACCCTTTTCCTAAGGTTTCCCCGTCATACCATAGACATCATTGTACTCCCTAACACTGGGATGCACCTTGAGTGTGAAGTGAATTCAATGTACAAACACAGAAACCAAGCACTTGGAAGACCCGTAACTTTAAGCGCTAATTCATCCCTTTGATTAATGCCTGCGATGATAATTTTCATTCTGGCGAGGGCTCTTCGACAAAATGTTAATGATGATAAACTTACCAAGAGCAAGCCAACTTTGCAGGCTCCGCATTTAAGACGTAGTCTCTCTAAAAACCGGTCCGGTGCGTTTCGGGTTGAAAAATCGATTTCTCTCAAACTTTGCTCAGGAATCTACCTTATTCACCTTGGTTTTTGTAAATATAGCAAAATAATTATTTTCTACGCGAAAATCGCTTTAGCGCTCAAACGCTAGTTTTTTTATTAACACCGAATATCAAAACTGGCACAAATTGCCGAGCTCGTCTTTTCACAAAATTCGAGTTTGAGGGGTTTTTTTGCTTCGCATATTTAGATAAACCCTTTGATCTAAATGAGAACAAAGCATAGAAAGATTTCTTTCAATGCAATTTTGTTTGACACCTACTTTGACGCTTCCGTCATGACCGGAAATATGCAACTTTTTATCTCGGCTCAGCGCAAAATTCCAACTTCTTTCCCACGATATGTTTATCCAGACTGATAAATGCTCTATCATATGCTCAAACAGATATATTATACCCTTTTTTATCCATGCTTAAACTATGGTCTTGCCAGCTGGGGTGCTGCTTACAAAACTAGATTGAATAAAATCTGCACTAAGCAGAATAGATTTATACGAAGCATGTTCTTTGCTCATGGCAGAGAACATGTCAACCCCTATTATAATCTTCTTGGAATCTTGAAACTTGAAAATATTTACAGACTAAAAGTATAAATTTTTACATATAAACTTAAGAATGACAAAAGTAACACCCCAGCTGTGCTACTCAATATTCTCACACCTGCATCAGAGATTCACCCATATAATACCAGTTATGTTACGAATAAAAACTTATTTAAGCCATCAGTATGCACTAATTATGGTATGTCTACATTTAAATTCTCTGCAATAAAAATCTGGGAATCTGTACCACCTGAATTTAAACGTTTTCCATACATGCTATTCAAAAAGCGGTATAAAAGATTCTTATTGAGTACTCAGAACTGACCATAGTTTAACTGTTATAAGATAATGTTTCACAATATGCAGTTTTCCTTTTATTCTACCTTGCATTTATGTATGTCTTTCTTCTCTTACAATAACAATATCGTCTTTAGTGTAACTATTAATTTAAATTATACTTAACATGCGGCTAACCCCAACTCACATCTACACGACAGTGACCAACTCGAAAGCTCATTGGTCACTGTACACGATGAAATATTCTTTCTTCTAGTTAATTTCTGTCTGTATTTCTTCTATGTCATTGTAAATCATGTTATGTTAAGTTATTTTTACTGTAAACAGTGTGAAATAATAAAGTGTGAAGTGTGAAGTGTCTGACTAAAATATGGTAGAAGGGCATGAAAACATAAAAACATGTTGTGGTTTCGGCGAACTTCTAGAATAACCGGCCATCGAAAATTCGAAAATTCGACCTTAGAATTAACATGGAGCGGTCTAAAAAATAACGAGACTTATACGGCTAACTTAAGTTTAACGAGTGATTTCAGTCCATAAAAGCCTTTTTAAAACTCGCAATGGGATAAAACATCATTAAGTAAAGAAAAATCTTTATCTCCATCTAGAAAAAAATACTGCCGTCGAAAGTAGACTCTTAGCTCTAGGCGACCTATTGTTTCGTTTATCACTCAATTAATGAGGAAGGGGGAAAAACTTCAAAGGCAGGATATCTCTGACGAGATTCAGGTTTATTCAGGATAACACTAAGTCGAAGTTTTCGTATTCGTGGTACTTAAAGTGAAGTCCTTTCCAGTTGATCTATGTGACATGTAATCAAATAATATTTTACTAAGCGAGCTAACTTACCTTAAGGTCCTTTCTTCTGAATTTATGAAAACAAGATAAGACTTCTGAGTACCGCCGTCAGGTCGCAAAGTAGTGTTGATAACTCGGTAATTTAACTCATGCGTCAATCAAAGTCAGGTTTGTTGGTAGTAACCATTGGCGTACTGAACTATGTTAAGTTAAATTTGGATCGGGGGTCCAAATCCGCTGTGACACCAGGTGAGATTTTGTTACAAAAGGTAATATTTTCATGTGTGCGCGCTATTTTTTTTTTTTAAGTATCAGTCTCTCCCACAGAGGAGAGGGGACGACTCCCCGTTAAATGACTCGCGAATTTGATATTATTCACACAGCCATCGGCTGTGTGTGAAACTGCTGCCAAATGAATAGATTCTCGGGCAAGACTACAGTTTCGATTCTTTCTGAATCTCTTCAATTGCCTCCTAACAACGAATTTGTCACGGAGGAATAACAAGAGTCGCACAGGCCCGCAAACACTTTTTAACTTTCGAAGGAACGGCAACAGACAGTGAATTTCCAATAAATTCCACGTTTATTCTACAAGTTGGAACCAAAATTAGTTAATGTAACGAGTTAGAATCGAAAGTTATTCAAATGGACCAAAGAATTTTACATTTTCATGATAATTTTATCGTTTAAATGTTTATTTGATTCATGGAAAGCAAAGATTGGAGTGGCTTTGGGTATTTCAGCCCTGATTTGGAAAAAATAAAACAGTTAGTGGTATGTTCTAAACCCCAGAACACCTGAGAGGACACTATTTTTTAGCATCCAGAACAAAAAGAAGAATGTGAGGCAGTGAAAGGAGATTGAGTTTTCATCGCCATTTGTCGTAAAAGCTGCCACCAGCTTGTTATTGAATCACTAAAATTTCCCTGGAAGGCTTTAACGTTCTTCTGTCGCGAAACTCGTGGATTTTAAAACTTTGGAACGACGAACGATGAATCCTGGAAACTGGAGTTTGAGTCCATTGGCAATCTATGTCAGCTGGTCTCATGAGCAGACCAAGCGCTGACGAAATTTGACAGTTTTGAAATTTTAAGCGGATGCAAAATCGAGACAAATATTCGTCTTGACACATTTTTTCAAGAGAACTCTGGTTTTGTCTGCTAGTGCAGAAAGCCCAGATAGCCACTTACGAATCAATTTTTAGTTTAATGATAGCCTTCACTCTCGAGAAATGTTCCGACTACAACTTTAATTCCGAAAACTTCGAAAACATCTCCGGTCAGTCTGGCTTCCTTTCACTTCCTCACATTTTCCCTTGTGCTGTGGCTGTTAACAAGTACTTTCACCCCATTTCCAATATTTCCTAAAGTGTTAGGTTTTTTTAGAACATACCAATAACTGCTATATTTTTTCCATATCGTGGTCAAAATGAACGGAACGAAAAAAAATTAACTTGTACTCGAGGATTTCGCTGGATAGCAACTATCATAGCTGGTAGTACTTCAAATGACTTGATACGTCGTCCTGGTATTCTAGGAAAGAAATCAGGGCTGAAATACCCAAAGCCACTCCAATCTTTACTTTCCATGAATCAAATAAACCTTTTTAAAAGTTAAAATTCTCATTAAAATGTAAAAATTCTTCAGTCCATTTTAATAACTTTCGATTCTAATTCGTTACACTAACTAATATTAGTTTCGATTTGTAGAACCCGCGAAACAGGCCATATGGCAAGGGGAAAACCTAGCACAATCACGTCACGCAATATATCAAGCCGGGTTTGTCCAGTTGATTTTGATGGTCGCAAGGAAATGTCGAGTTTGTCGCTCAAAACCGCTGTGCTCTATAAGAGCGTAACATTATTGATGATGGAAACAAATTTGCGGAAAGGAGGGTTAGTTCATCGGGTTCCGTGAAGCTTGCTCTCCAATGCAAACCATCCAGTGTGGTGTCCCTTAAGGTTCAATTTTAGGCCCTCTATTGTTCATTCTATACATAAATGACCTCCCTAATGCCTCTGAATTAAAAGACCCTCTGCTTTTCGCTGATGACACCAGCATCTTTTATTCTCACTCAAACCCAAATTGCTTAGAATTCGTACTTAATAATGAACTCCAAAATATTGATGTTTGCCTAAAATGCAATAAGCTCTCAGTTAATATACAGAAAACTAACTACGTAATTTTTAAACCCAGACAGAAGAAACTTAACTCCAGCATTTCTCTCTCCTTTGGAGGTAAACTTCTACAACAATCTAACATAACTAAATTCCTTGGGGTCTATATTGATGATTATCTCACCTGGAAACACCATATCAGCTATGTAAGTAAACAAATCGTTAAATCAATAAGTATTATATTCAGGTCTCGCTTTTTCCCATCCTCTACAACCAAACTCACTTTGTACTACACCTCAATTTATAATAGTAATTGCACTGAGTGGAGTGCAATTTGGGCTGAAACCATACGCGTGATTTTCAAAATCGAACGAGCGCGCAGCACGAGTTCGATTTGAAATCACAAGTATGATTTCAGACCAAAATTGCACGACACGAGGTTCAATTACCACTTTATTACATCCATTTTGAAATCGGCCAAATACAGGACTTGGTCTGTTCAAATATTTTTTTGATGAAGTACTGAGCCGGTCTGAAATTAAATTCATGTCCATTTTTTGGGGAGAAAAAGTAAGAGTTAAGAAACAAAAGTTGCAAAATTTGCCACATGATACTCTCCTTGTCTTTCATTTTCCTGCGATTTGATCGGTTACTTTAAACGAGCCTTAAAATCTAACTGGTTGTTTTGTTTTTAGTGTAGCCTCCTCATTGACTGAGAAAAAGATGCGATTTAAAGCAAAAAATGGTGCGATTTGTGAATAAAATCGCATCAATTAGAGCCAATCAGATTACAGGGACCACCAGTGATTTCAAAATGGGTGTAATAAGTCCTTATATCGTCTATTGTACCTGTGCCTGGTCGTCCACATACGTATCTAACTTAAATAGAATTTACTACTTGCAAAAGCGAGCTGTGCGGGCTATCACCAACGCAGACTACCGAACCCATTCCGCTCCTTTGTCCTCCAAACTAGGAATTTCAGATATTTTCCAAGTCAATACGTTTGAAATCGCCAAATTCATGTTTTATTACAGAAATAACTTATTGCCTCTATTGCTTCTCAATCTTTTTGTAACGAATAGCCAAATTCACAACTATGGTACCAGAATAGCTAGTAATTATCGAACGCATTTGTGCCGCACAAATCTCGAGCAATTTACAATTCTTTAACAAGATCCTAAAATTTGGAACTCTCTTCCTGTTTCAGTCACTCGTTCGTCAAACCTTCCTGGTTTTATGACGAAAATTCAAGAGTTTTTACTAAAATAATTACTGAATTGGCTTAGCTGCACATTCGCGGCACTTTTTCTATACTTTATTTATTAATGTAAGTGAGGTGGCTCTCCCATAAGCCCGGTGACTTCCTGGGTCTCCTCGCCTTCTAGCTATAACCGCTGTAAATATATTTTTTGTATTGTGTAAATAAGGCAAATAAAATATGATGATGATGATGCACGCACTTTGCTTCTGCATAATTATGATAATTTTGTTAGTCTTTAAAAAAAATTACACGTGCTTATTTATTCCAAATTGCACTCGAAATCATGTGATTACCAATACTAATATCTTGAGCTCTGCAGGATCAGACCTGCGTGACATTCGAGGTATTTCTACCTTAAACCGCATCTCAATTCATGTTCATCATTGAATCAAATTTGTCAAATCCTTTAATTTTTCCATTTTTCAAAACCAAAATCTTCTGACAGTCTTTTATTGTGTTCAAACGGTGAGCTATAGTGATGACAGTGGACTCTTTCAGTTTGTCCCGCACTACATTCCAAACCGTCTGCTCTGTGTCTGGGTCAACATGCGCAGTTGGCTCGTCCAAGACGACGATTTTACTTCGCTGTAGCAGCACACGAGCCAAGCAAATTAACTGCCGCTCTCCAACACTTACATTAGCGCCATGTTCCAGCAGTTCGTGATCGAGCTTGGCTGCAAGTGCCCCGACAAAATCTTTCAGTTGCACATCCTCTAAAGCCTGCCATAATTCAGCGTCTTGAAACTTGTCAAAAATGTCTAGATTTTTTCTTAATGATCCACTAAAAAGAACAGGACTTTGACCAAGAACCGAGATACTTTGTCGAGCTTGCTGGAGGCCTATGTCTTTAATTGGAAAATCGTCGATGATTATCTCTCCATCAGCATCAGGCATGCGCATAAGAGCTGCTACAAAAGATGACTTCCCAGCTCCCGTACGGCCGGCAACTCCGATCTTTTCTCCTCCTTTGATGCTAAGATTGATGTTCTTCAGCACTTGAGGTCCCCCCGGATAGTACGTCAGTGATACATCTCTCAACACAATACTTCCTCTCTGAGGCCAATCTTTTGGCGGTGTTCGTTCTTCCCCGTATCCAGGCTCCCGGTCAAGTTTGGTATAGGCCATAACTCGCTCAACTGACGTCATGTAGTTTTCCACTTCGGAGGTTTTTCTAACAGCGTATTGAGTCGAGCTCAGAGTTTGGATGACGTAAACAAGAGCGAGACCAGCGTAAGCTGAAAAAAAATTGGAGCTTGAATTTATAAATTCCGGACTAGTTTTCTCTTGGCGGCTTAAAACTTTTAACGAAAACTTAGCAAGGCTAGGTTACTTAGCCTGGTCCAGGGAGTCACTTTATGGGAAGTACTAAATAAGGCATCTTTTTTACATCTTTCTCAGTGTCGTTGTTTTGACTCCAAGCTAAGTAGGTGCAGAGGAGTTATCAACACAAGTTTCTCATTTTGAATCATAAAACACACTTGAAAGTTTGCTCAGAACTTAAGCCACCCGAGTGACTCTCACGTTTCTGTCGTGTTTATAATAAGAGTGCAAGTATTTTCACACTTATTTTATTGTTCAGTTGTTCATGCTATGTGAATACACGACTATATATATTCTTTCTTTACAAAGAAAGACTAAAAACGTTACTAAGAGTCTTGAGCTTACCGGCATCTTGAGATACCAAGATTGCAGCCAGAGCAACTGCACCGACTAACAAGGAAGCGAGACAATCCAAACGTGTACCAAGCCACCTACCGCTGGCCATCACCATAATGTACGCCTGATTGTGATTATCTTGATATCTGAAGGGATAAGTTTTCATTACGATAAGTTCTAATAATTAGAATATTAGTTGACTATGGAAATAAACCGGATTTAGAAGCTTTTCAACACTTTGCGTATTGGTCGTGCGCGTTCAGTTCCCGCGCTCAATGCCGTTTCCTCGTTTTTACGAGGAAACGGCATTGACGGCACTCTTTCACTACTTGTGATCTTTTCTTTTGTTCTAACTGGCTAGTTGTTTTCAAATTGTATTTTTTTTTTACCATCATCACTCCAAAATACATTCTAAGTTGATTACATCGGGTCTGCACATTGAAGTGAGACCAGTGTCTCCTTTGGCCTGACAATGTAACGGAGCCTGTCAACAAATCCTGCCCGACAACCCACCCTCTAAAAAAAAAGATGTTACTTCTAGCTTAGTATCCGAGAGATCCTTTCCGTAACCACATCTCAGTCTTAGGCATGCTCTATTCGTCCAGATGAAGGAAGCTGGAGTCGAGTTTGTTAATGATATGGACACTTTTTCATTAAAAATGATAAATTCCCCCTCAGTCTTAGGTATGCTCCATTCGTCGAGATGAAGTTAGAGCCGCTAGAGCCGAATTTGTTAACGATATGGATATTTTCATTAAAAATGGTAAATTCTCCAAAAAACCCTAATTCTTAATTGCTCACTATCACAATTACATCTTGTATACTAAGTATAACATTTATCGGAGGGAGAAGACGAATGCCACTTGTCGGTATTTTCTGTTAAACTCATAATGGTAATAGGACTGAGTGGAGTCCAATTCGGCCAGTAATCATGCGAGTGATTAACAGAAGCGGACGACTACGAAGCGGGAGTCTGGTTTTTTTAATCACGAGTATGATTGAAAACAGAATTGGACGACATAAATTTCTCTTACTAATTGATTAAAACAACAGCACACGCATTCCCTTTCACGCAGATATGACTTGCTAACCGTCCTATTACACTGTCCAATTACAAGCATGACACTTATAATTACACTGTCCTATTAGTGCTCAAATTGCGCTGTTCATAACCAATCACGTTCCATAAATTTGTTACAGTTTTGATTAATCATGAAATTTCTGCATCACGCGATCTTGCTGATTGACCGAAGAAGAAGAACGAAAACCGTACAGAGCAGTTACTGTAGTCTTACACTAGTACGCCTTTCGTGCCTCTTTCGGATAGCTTCGTTTCGCGACCTTGCCTCGTATACGGAAAGGTCCACTTGCTGACCAGTGTCTCAGCACATACCAGATAGGAAGACGCGTGATGCAATTTCGTGTATTGGCAATATATGAAAAATAAATAGCTCACAGAAAACGTGCAATTATGAGTCATTTGTGCCCCGTACATTTATCGAACATGGCACCACACCTGAATCAATGTCTCTAACATACCTGTACAGTGCATCCATAAAATCTCTCTGCCTTTCTCTCGTCCGAATCGTGTTCAGTCCTATCAGGGTCTCCGAAAAATGAGCGAAGACTGGGCTTCGGGATATCGACTCTAACCTCTTTAGTTCTCTGGCAGTCTTCAAGTAATAATTGGAAAGAAAAACGACCAGCATGGAAATTGGAACAACAAGAAACATCAGCCAAACATTTATGGCCACTATAACCAGAATTTGGGCAAATATCACCAGGAGCCTCTGCATTGCCGCCAGGAATGTTTTGGGTAACATCTCATCTACGCAGCCAATATCATTGGAAAAGCGATTTAGGATTCTTCCCACTGGATTTGAATCAAAGAACAGGACAGGTGCTTGTAAAATGGCCACAACCATTTTATCGTGCAGCCGCTCGGCGCATTTTAGAGAAACTAAGAGGAATCCATAAGCCCGAACGATAGTAAATATAAAACACACGCCAACCAGACAGGCGAAGACAGATAGATATGTTTTATTCTTCTGATCCTCTGGGTTTAGCCTTGCAAGAAACGAGAGCCACAAGTCTGGAGCACCTATGATGGCTAAAAGGATAAGATCAAGGTGTGGTGGTTCAAAGGTATTTCTATATGATCAATCAGTTAAATGTGGTAAGATTTATTGGGCCTAGACACAACTCGCCTAGGTTAGCTATTTACGTTTATAACATAAGGATGTTCATGTAAGCACCAAAATCTCACAGAATAGATGAGGCAGTCAACCATCTTACACATAAATATTGTCGGAAAACTGTATTCGGTCTCAGAAAGTTAGTTAGGAACGAGTTTTTTATCTTTTTCAGGCGAGTGGAGGCAAGTGCAAGGCAAACGCGAGGAGCAAGACACCAGCTCTTCTTTTCGCGTGTGACTCGCCATTCACGTTCGACTCGCGCTTGCCTCGCACTTGTACGAGCAAGTGAGACATCGGGAACATGGTCAGAAATTTGTGCAGTGTCTCTTAACTCTGTCATCTAATCTAAAAACAACGCGTATTGTTGGTTAAAAGCATAGCCATTGTGAAATGATTTGCACGAAATAGAATGAAAGAAATATAGAAAAAAAAGGTTTCTGTATTCCCTTTTAGGGCCTATCCCAAGGCTTGCAACTCACTCTAACAATAAGTACCTTGAGTAATGAGACTTAAACCAACCATTCCAGTTATCATCAGAGGATGTGCTCCACTTCTGAAGTAGTCCCAATAAAGCCTGGATGTCACAACGCCGATTGTACGATCCTCCTTGGCTATTTCCATACTCCTCGCTTCATTAGGCAAAGCATGTGTTTTATAGCACTTTTCATCATCATCGTGTTCCTCCTTATCTTCCCAGGAGAACGGCCAAGATAGGTCTGTTCTGTCCTTCAGAGCTGCGTTATAGAGCGGGTCAACAGTTGAACTAATTACACCTTTTTCGTGCAGTTCAGTAAAGCGTCCCTTGTCGAGGACACGCCCTTTGTACAACACAATCACTTGATCTGCATTTACCATGTGCTGTTGCTGATGAGAGGCGAACAGAACGATTTTATCGCCCAGTAGATCGTTGATGCACTTGTTAAAGATGTGTTGGCCAACTTTAACATCGACAGCACTCAGTGGATCATCCAATAGATAAATATCTCCGTCAGCATAAACTGCACGAGCTAAACTTACTCTCGCCTGCTGTCCTCCACTCAGAACCTCGCCGCGTTCTCCAACAACTGTTTGGTCGCCATCAGGTAGCCGCTGAAAGTCTTCTTTTAGAGCGCAGACGTCGATTATTCTTTCGTACTTGGACTCCTCGAGGGGCTGGCCAAATAGAATGTTTTCTTTTATCGTTCCTGAGAACACCCAAGCAGTCTGAGGCAAGTAAATTACAGAACCTTGATAATCAATCGTCCCACTGGCATTCGAAATTTCACCAGCGATCGCTGAGAGCAGAGTAGACTTCCCACTTCCAACTGGGCCGGTGATGACTGTTAAACTCTTTGAAGGTGCAAAGAAGTTGATATCCTGAAGAATAAATTCATCTTCATGATGCGTTTTTGCGTAGCTTAAATTTGACACACATATAGAAGGCCCTAATACTGTTGATTCACGAGAGAGGGAAGCTTTCTCTGCATTTTCCTCTTCTTTTCCCAAGTTAGTGCGACTTTGGTTCCTTAAGGTACTTTTCGCTTTTTGTGTGGGCTCGTTGCTTTCATCATTCTCCGAGGCTTCCGACAGATTTTCCAAAAGAAGGAATTCTTCGATTCTTTCGAGTGAAACGTAGGCGTCATACGTTAACATTAAACCAGGAGTCATATTTAACATGCCAATAAATTTTAAAACATCCAGAAACGACAGGAGCATAAAAACATTGGCGGGTGTGAGGGTCTCCCCTGTAAGCACCATAGTAGTTACTGACACCAGTGTGGCCAGTGGCGTTGCACTGTATGACACGGCATCGATGCTTGACTGAATGGCTGTCCTCTTCGAAATGATGCTGATTTCATTTCTGAAGATAAAAGGTTATCATAAGTTATGTGGGCATTCTTTCGAACCAACCCGTCGTCAGTATTCTCTCTAATTTGAAATATTAACGAGGTGAACAGGCGGCAAGTGCACCCTTCCTCATCGTTCACTTCTTTGTGAAAGTACGTCTTTGCGGCCCCACGACAGCGTATGAGGAATAATACCAACTGAAGACAAGTTAGACTCAATGAAATGTTCTACCTATAATAATGAAACGATTATTCTCCGTAGTGGAGGTGATATCCACCCCCTTTCACCGACACTGAGGTAAAAGTAATTACAATATTTTCGGGCGTAAATCCCGCGGGAGTCGCTCCAAGATGAATTGCAAAGGATATTCGGAGTTTGAATAACCGGTTAGAGCGCTCTTTTAACACTATCTACTAAGTACATACTGATAAAGTTTAATTGACTGACCAGACCTCCGGTTATAATATGGGTTACTGATCGGTCCAAAGATTTTTGGACCTTTCTTTCTTTTTTTTTTTTTTAGGGGGGGGGGCGGGGGGGGAATGTTTAAACTGCCTAGTTCATAAAGCTCTCAGTGGAGACGAAACAGATTTGTGGTTATCTATTTCCGAGTTTTGAATAATTTGGGGCAGCAATTACGGGAAAGAATGAAGCTAGTTGTTTGAGCCTATTTCTGAATAAAAATGGTATTTTACCTTACCTTCTTACATGTTTTATCTTTCGTCCGTATTCGTCCTCCCACGCATGCATTTTGACCGCGCGGATTCCCGAAACTACTTGATTCACTAGGGAGATTCGCTGATCTGACACTGTAGCTGTGCGCAGACGCAGCTTAGCGTTAGCATAGGACAAGACGGCAAAGTATGGCATGAGAATACACAGGAGGAACACACCCGTGACAGCCTGCCAACCAATCAAATTGTAGATGAGGAATATTGCCCCTGCATAAATAGGGACTGCAGAAACGGCTAAGACAAAAAACTTGACTGTCTCTTCTTCCATTCTTTTAACATCATTGGATATCAGATCGAATAAGCGTCCTGCAGTGAATTTCAGTAACGTCTGCTTGCTGAGTTGAAGTGTCTGAAAGAAAGTGAAGATTTGACATTAAAGAAGAAGTTTGTTCTATAAACCATACGACTTAAATCTCCGGCATAAAGATAACCGTGACTGCTTTTTGAGACGAAAGTATCCAAACCTCTACCAAATTAAAGAAATATGTTCTTCGTCTTGTCACGAGCGTGGAACAAAGATAAAATTTCTATCTACTCTTCCAAATTTTCTTTAAATGTGTAAAAGGGGCGACAACTCAGGCGCCATCTTTAATCTCGTTCAGAAGCGCAGCCGTATACGATATGGTTTCTGTAGCCTACTTCCGCGTTAACTGCAGGTTAAATAACTGTTTGTTTCCTCCAGTCTTTTGTTGCAGGATTGCTCACTCTCGTATAGGCAGCAACTGGCGATAATGTTTAATTACCCTCTCCTCTCGGGTCTCCATATGGCATAAGCCGGTTGCAATTGATCAGATTTCTAGAAAAAATAATTCTTTATCGGATAGATAAATGTGTCCAAGTTTCTTCGGCTTAATTTGGGGTGTTTAGGGTATTAGAAAAATCGGTTGAGCCTTAGGATCGTGCCCACCTTGTGGTACACCAGTCCCCTTAGGGCGCTTCCTATTTTGATCCCCAATATTTCGCATCTGTAGTCTTGCTGGTGCATACCAAGACCACCGATCAAACCATTGAGACACATAGCTAATGCGCAAGCGTAGAGCCGATGAGTATTCTCTGCCTCAGTTGACATAAGCTTAGAAACAAGATACCCAAGAAGCAGTGGAAAGAGAAGGCGAGAAATTGTAAACAATACATTCCCCGTCAGAATGATGATAACATCTTTGGCAGAAAGCATATCAAACACGCGCCTCCAAAGTTTGGGCCTCTTCCCATTCATCTTGCATTGATGTTTCTCGCTTTCCCAGCTTTTTCGGAGCTTTTTGGTAACATAACGGCCAGAGTTCTCGTCTGACAAGGGTAAAAAGTCATTTTGATCCAAAGGTCTTTGACTGCCCTCTTTGAGGACTTCGTTCATCCAACAATAAAAAAGTGAAGATGCAAAACTGACTTTTTTATCTTCATCACCAAAGATTTTCCTGTAACCGCCTTTTGGTGCCATCACTTAAGACCTACAAAATAGTAAGTCATTGTTAGCATGTTCAATGCAAATGGTCAAATGTCTGTGCATGTTGTTCCAGGATTTCAAAACCAACTTAATGTAAGAGTTGTAAATTTACATAAAATCCAATAAGTCACAGTGTTTTGTAGAACCTCATGACTATTACATAGCCTAAAATGATATAGCCTAAAACAAAATGGTAAATAATCAGGATACCCGTCATTGAATAAGTTTTGTGCTCAAAGAGTGTCGAGTTTTCCTTTCTCTACTTTTTATGAACGTTTAATTTTCTTGGCATAGTTTGCGTGACAGCGGTTACTACCCTTGTTTTTGTTTAAAATTTTGCGCGGGAAATTTGCGCACGGCCGGCCAAAATAGATCACCTTGCTTGGGTGAACCTGTTGAGCTCCAAGCTCCCTCTAGATAGAAACTAAATAACGGGTGAACAATATCTTGCAATTATTTGAGGAAGCGGCATGGAACCAACTTTCCGTTCCGAATGGAGTTTCCACAATTTTTCGCCTGTCCGATTTCCTTCTTGTCTTCTCTAAGCAAGAACTTGTCGCATACATGACAAACTTATTAGTCTTAAAAATAAATCAGATCTTTTTTACTTCCATTTAACGTCCGCTGAGGTGTAAATTAAAATTTCACAAGCGAGAAAACGTAACTTTCTCCCAGGCTGAAAATAACTGCATAATACTGTAAAAATTGGATGCCTATCCAAGACGATTGCAAGAATAAATTTGTCAGTGTCTGGCGAAATGTAACAGTCGAAATTCTCCAGCCAACAAAGCGCGGTCTGCACGGTTTGTACGGTCTGCACGGTCTGCTCGATCTGCACGGTCTGCAGTCTGCTTTTTAGCATAACATCTCCTGTGATCTAGCCCACTCAATCAAAGCTTTTAGGAAAACCATACATATACAAAATGTCAACACAGCCTGTTATCGACCTTGTAATTTCAACCTCTATGGATGGAATCGTACTGACAATTTCGTGTAAAAAGTATTACGTCTGCAAGTGGTTGTGCGATAGCAATTTGAAGAAGCTGCAACTCTATGTAGCTTACCTTGCAACTTTGTCTAATTAAAGAGGAATTTACCAAGATACCGGTAATTGCCGTTCCTTGCTATTTACAAGCCATATCTATTGCACGAGCGAATAGATTTTGAGAGATTTCTAAATATAGGGAAAAAAATCGACCAGACGATGTTCCTTTATAATAAGACAGATGTCGTATTTTGAAACGAGAGGATCATTAAATTTCCCAAGAGCCCTGTCTTCACCACTCTGAATGAAAGGGGGCTTATTTAAAAGTTTTGAAGGCGCATTTTCAAAATAAATTTCAAAACTCTGGAGACAGAAAACAGGTTGAAAACGGAGCTTTCGGTAACGCTATGACTAAATGCTAGGTAGCCGGACAGGGTCTCCAGAAGCGTAGGCGCTAAAATATGGAATGACCTAAAACCACCTAAAACCATCTACAACCACCTAAAGACACTTAAAATCAATAATTTCTGAAAATACTTGAGCCTTCGATCGATTTGAAACGTTAAATGATCAGTTCCCTCCATCAAAGGAACAGCGCTCCTTTCCTGAGGCTTTTCGCGCGGGTCAAGACTGACCGAAACCGGACACCGCGCTTGAAAAGCCTCTGGCACCCAGGGTAGACAGGGTAAGCCAAGAACTAAAATCGGAACAAATTAATGCCAGCATGTCGTAGGTTCCGAGAGCTGATTGATTGGTGTTTGTTTAGTAATGTCAAGCAATTTCAAATATTAATTGGTCTTTTGGTGGACAAATTCTCCGAGCTAGTGAAAAAGCTAACATCAATGCTCTTTCAATATTTTGGCGGTTTAACTAAGGTCTTGTTATGCACATGATTAAGGTCCATTCAAATCTGTCTGCCGCTGTCGACGACCGTTCTAGTGTGAGTGGAAAACATTCGTTCCTTTTTCTTTGGTTAGAAATAATTTGGAAATGTTAACTGGGAATTTTGTCCAATGAAGAATGGACCGTAGCGCGACTTTAATTAATGGTTGAAATTCAAACTTTCGACTTCAGTTGTTATCTGAATAATCGAGCTCCATAGATTCTTTCACTCTAAATAAGTTCGACAAATCATTTATTATGAAGTTCTGTCCATAATTTTCCAAGAGTATAGTAAACTGGAACTTAATTTCAGTCACACTCAGCTTGACTTGCGCTGATTCAGGACTCAACCTCACATAAGAGGAATTTAAAACAAAAACGTTTCTCAAAAGTGGCATAAGCCTCTCGACGTTTTCCCTTTATTCTGAGGTACCACGGCTTTCCATAGGAGCGATTGTAACTCACTCTACGCTTTTCCTAAGGCTTCCCTGTCTTATCATAGGTATCAATACACCCCCTAGTGCTAAGATGCACTTTGAGAGTTAAGAGAATCCAGTGCACAAACGCAGAAACCAAGCACCTTAAAAGACCCGTAACTTTCAGCGCGCTTATTAATCCCATTGATTAATGCATGCGACTATAATTTTTATTATGGTGAGGGCTCTCCGACAAAATTTTAATGATTATCAACTTACCAAGAGCAAGCCAACTTTGCAGGCTCCGCATCTAACCTTGTTTGTGTAAAGATTCCTTTCTGGAATGGCACTTGCTATCACATAAGCGACAGCACTATTAAATATTGTTTGCAGTTGAATGAAGTTCCGAATGAATTTATTTCCCGCCAGTTCAGCTTATTCACTGTCCTTATTATCGGCTCGAAAGTAAAGATGAAATCTTTATAACTGGGCTACGCACACGATTACGAGCAGTTTACCATTTGATCACTAAGTTCAGCTGCATGTAACCAAACCAGCAA